CTGTGCTTTCTACTGGAATACTGGCTAGCAACTGCCACTAACTAACATGTAAACTTCTGTATACCCCATTCATGCCAGCATCGATTCATACCACTGCATCAAACAAAAATGAGCTTTTCAGCTCCCACAGAAATTGGCAACAGTGCAATAACAACAACTTTATGTACATGCCTATTTTGTATGGGCTTGGCTTTAACAATCCCTTTCATCTGTGACTTAAAGTCACTTTACAGACCAAGAGAAAAGTATGCTTTTATCCTTAGGCAGTTATACCGATACAATATATAAGATGTATGTGTGGCCCCAGCTTGTGTGACTTAATTGGTTGGGTGTCTTCCTGTGCAATAGGAGGTTGCCAGTATGGATTTCCCTCAGGGCACATGCCCGGACTGTGTGCTTGATCCCCAAAAGGGGGTGTGCAGGAGGCAACTGATTGATCGATGTTGTGCTCTCTCATTGATGTTTCTACCCCTTCCTCTAAAAACCAACTAATTATTTATTTTAGAACATGTATGTATGTGTGCATATACATGTATGGTGGGTACCTATATACATATATGTATATATTTCATTTGTTCTCTTAGAAAGAATAACTCCACCCCCCAAAATAAACACCTCTAAATTTAATAATTACCCCTCCTCTCCCCCCCAAAAAAAATCCACCTCCCTTGCTTTCCTAAGTTAATTCCACTCTGTTCCAGTGAAATAGCCTGCTCTGGAGCAGCCGGTCATGAAAGCTTAAGGGTCTATCCTGCACATTGTAAGGCACCTCCGAACCCCAAAGGCACCAATTCTTGGGACCATCTTACACCCAGTATAAACTTCTCGACTAACAAGCAAGTGTTAGGGTCACCTCTCTGAATATATTTGTCTCCTACAACTTTTCCCATTATCTGCCTCCAAAAAACTAAGGTTACTGACACTTACCAAAACAGGAAGCTTTCCAAAAGCCACCAATGCAAGCATACCATTGCTCAGAACCCTCTAGTTGTGCATGATTTAATAAAACTGACCATATAGGATAACGCTGTTTATTAAAAATATATCCAGGGAGAAGGAAGTCAGTGCATTTATGCAATTTTACATACACATCTGTAGTTTGAGGTTCCATTATTCCAACAGTTCATATAAATCACTGTTTCAGATCAGAAAAGGAAAAAAAATGCTTTACACAGGAGATTAGCAATTGGTTATAGGTTTGGTCATGAGTAGGCTTGCTTTAAAAATAAAACCACCTCTTCCAGTATTAAAGAATGTTTCCTTTATGCAGCTAAGTCTAGAGTTAAGAACTTCTCCTTGCACCAGAATTTTCAAGTTCTTAGAAAACAAGTCAATCCTCCATTTTCTAGAAATATAAATCCTATATTCTGTCTGGGATCTTTTTCTTTTGAGGTAACAAAGGAAGCATTTTCAGTGATCTGACACTAGTTACCCTTGAGCTGGTATACCAGCTCCTGCCGTGGCAGACCTAAGACCCATATAAAAGCATTTCTCAGAGAGTTAAAAATACAGAGTATGACATTTCCAAACAACATTCTTATTACAGTAGGGAAAAAGGGGTCATAAAATCCAGACCAACATAAATGAATGCAAAGTTTGATCATCTTTGCTAAAAAGGGGAATGGACACTGACATCCAGAATACCCTCTAAGGACGTGTTTCTGAATGCACTAACATGTCTTTCCCGTGCAAGTCTCCTTTCCAAAAAACTTTTTTCTTGGTATTATCAGCAACATCGTCATTTCCTGAGTTTGTACTCACTGACAAAAATCGGGAGCACAGAACACAGCCTCAAAACCTGATGAAGCAGGGGGAAGACAAACCTTCAATACGCTGGCGAGAATCCTTCCTCTGGCAAACCAAAACTTGAACCTAATTTCTTAGATGCAGAAGTTGGGGCTTCGTCACTCAGCCTGAGGGACTATGCAGAGGTGGCCCTAGGGAAGTTTCAGGCTGTTCACAGCATTCTGGAGTTCCGTACTGAAGTGTTGTCCAATGGAGAAAAGAGGGACTTTTGAGTACTACCTTCTTTATAAACTGTGAAGGTGAGAGGAAGTTTACCAATATAAACACAGGACACCAGAGCTGAGGAACAGGAAGAGAAAAATCTGTACCCTTATGTGTGGCTTTAAGGTTTCTGCTGAAGTAGGCTAAGGCCAGTGGTCGGCAAACTCATTAGTCAACAGTCAAGTATGACTGAAATTTCTTTTGAGAGCCGAAAATCGACTTCTGTGCATGGGTCATGAAGTTTCAATCCCTCTGTACGTGCGCACCCACATGTGGTATTTTGTGGAAGAGCCACACTCAAAGGGCCTAAGAGCCGCTTGTGGCTCGAGGGTCGCAATTTGCCAACCATTGGGCTAAGGTATCTACAACTTTCTCCATGTCTGTCCCCAATTAGACTACCTAGACCTTACAATTCCCTTTGGGGAGAGAGAAAGGGGGATGGAATTACATGTAACTCCTTCTCTCTTCCTTCTTAAAAAGTTCCAGTGAAAATATACAAAGCAGATGAAACCAGTCACTGTTGAACACACCATGACATACTTGGTGTTAGCTGCCCAACATCTGACTGACTCCATCTTAGCAAAATTAAAGGACAATAGAATATAAGGTCACTATCCAACTGTTTATGTGTATAAAGGATATCTAAAAATTAGTGCTTGTTGATAGGATTACTAAGCAAATAAATTTAAGGCATAACTGGAGTAACAGCAAATGAAATAGAATACATTTTCCCTACCAAGCAATATTAAGGCCTCTGCCAAGGGAGATTGCTTTACAATGGGGAAGTCTTCCTGCTCCTAACCAACCAAGGGTTGCTGAGGAAAGTGTAGGGTAAAGACTGAGTGTTTAAACAGATAAACACCAACTCTTATTAAACACTAAAGCTCCAGAATTGCATTAAAAAACCATTAAAAGTACTCATTAGATGGTGAATCAATAAGGGTAAATCTGTCAGGGCCACAACATGAATAAAACGTCAAGTACAGATATTTTAATAAGAGACATTACTTTGTTTGTACACAGGTCTAAATTTTAACAGAACCCCGATTAAAAAAAGAACAAAATGCTATGTTGACATAAAAATCTTTGTGCTTAGTTTGTAAAAAAGTATAAGAACAGTTGAAAACAAATCAGTTCTTTCGTTAACCTAGCTCTACTTGATTAAACTGCTTAGTTCCTATGCTATATCAGAACTGCAGAAATGCCATCCCTTCCTCCATGTCAGGGTACAGCTGCTCTCACCTGTCAGAGCCTCTGCAGGAGCCAGGGAGACAGGCCCCTGAGCAGCTCTTACAGCTCCTCACACTTCAGAGGCCACTGCTTGAGTTTAGTGTGAAGGACAAGCCATGTGGGGGTGGGGATGAGCACCCACTGGGGGATGCTCCACACAGGCCAGTTAAGTGGAAAATGACAGTCATCAAAATAAAACAAGCCACTGTTTCTTTTCAGTGGTAGGATGGGGAACAAAGGGGTTTCTACATCAATTAAATAAAACTTTGGAATAGTCAGTAAACAAAAGAAAATTGATTTCTTAAAGTTCAATTAGGAAAAAAAAAACCAAAAACCTCATCTATCATTTTTTAAAAAAAATTTGAATTATGAAAATTCTCTCAAATTTATACAACAGGCTTAATTTTAAACCTTAGGAAGGGGTCTCCTCCCATTTTCTCTCCACATTTTACGTTCTTCAAGCTATTATAAAATTTCTGAAAAGCAAAATCAGCCATGACACGGAATCATGGAGATGTAACAATTTACTTCATAGAAATACATCTACACAAGATATGCATACAGCACAGAACTATAAACAAAAAGGTGAAGCAAACATTATTTATTTTCAAGTAGAAACATTAGCCTGATGGATTATTGCAGATTTGAGAAATCAGCACATAGAACTACTGGACAGAGCATTGCTTACAGGTGCTTTTATCTGTGTGGAGACAAAAGGCTGAACTGTTTGTCCCAAATTATCACTGAAAGGAGGGGGTGAGGAAAGTGGAAGAAAGACAATGAATAAAAACTTAAAACAAGAACATAGGAGAAAAAAATTATTTTACTCCAACAGGAAATTAAAACTGCTTTTTATCTTTGAAACTTTACACCAATTTAAAATGCTCTGGCCATAGACTAATACATACTGGATGGCCCAAGCTGTACATTGTAAACTACACAAGAGAAATGAATGAATGAGCTTTCCTTGCCTCTGCTCCAGGGGCCGTGGCTGCTGGAATCACCATGTAAACATTCCTAGCGTGTCACTGGTAGGAAGCCAGCAATACCCTACAACTATATTAAAACTAAGCTCTAAGAAAAATCCATCCAGTTACAAAGGCTGAATTATACTGACAGTATAGGTCAAGTTTTGACTTTTAAATTTTATCTTAACTGAGGGAACATGAAATAACAAAAGCCCATGGCTAATGAAAAATGTAACAATTGAGTGTCATATACAAAAAAACTGTGTGAACTGCACAGACAATGCATGAATAGGGAGAGAAAATTAGAGGAAAGTGAAAAGCACACAGAGCTAACTTACTAAACTATCTGTCAAATAAGCATGAGCTTTAATGTCTGTACTTATGTACAAGAGTTATCTTTGGAGGAAACAATACTGTAGACTTAGCTAGATGGATACACACAGCCCAGAATTAAACTGCACAGCGACATTTATTGTTTCAGCCTGGAAAAACATCCCCTTTTTCAAATTTCACACAGCAAAGCAAGTTAAAAACTTCACTCATCAAATAAATGATAATTTAAACAAGAACTTGCTAAAGAAACCTCATCACAACAATGGTTTAGGGCCTGATCACTTTAAGTCCATGGGGCCATTAATGAATATCAACCAAGTGTCTCTTTTATCATCTGCAAGCTGTTTTTCCTACAACAAGAAGGAGTAACATGTTTCCTTGACTCAGGTGATACATTTAGAAAAGAAATCATGATTTGTTTTCCTTTGCTGTAACAGGCAGACACTGCATTTCTCGGTGTAATCAGGAAAGATGGAATGACTGCTGCCCTTCTCTTGCTGCTATTAACAGTTTTTCCCGCATTATCTCAAGGCTTGAATAGTCCGGCAACTTAAGATAGTTCACACAAGTCATTACGGAGGGCAAGAAGTCATCTGGGTTTTCTGTCGATTCGAATGTCTTCCGAACAATTGTCAAGGGTGGGTTCAAACTCCGGAAGCCTAATTTAGAGGGAAGGAAAAGAGACCAGGGACTCAGTAAGTGTACAGGATGCCAGCTCAGAGAACACTTTCTTAGCTATGAGAGGAGTCAAGCTGGAATGACAGGCATGCCTTGTTTATGCTACAACTATCAGAAAACATTACCACACACATGAGGTACTATTTCTTCCTTGGCAATTAAATCTACACATTCAATAAACATTTAGTGCATGGGACCTGGCATCTGCTTTATTTACTATAAAAAGTCACAGTATAACAAGGCGGTAAATATTTCCTTATATCTTCTAACTTTTAAAACAGAGTACCAACTCATACCTGTATGAGTATATTAGGACTCATCTTTGAACATTCACACTTCAGAATACCTTCTCATCTGATAATGTACAAATGTCAAAAGCAGCATTACAGTGTGTAGTAATCTTACTTAAATGTGTTTAAGATAAATAAATCTCTACCAGTTTTCCTACCAGTTATATCTGTTAATGAATTATTCAACAAACCAAAAATTGAGAAAAATTACCATATTGGAATAACTATGAGGCACTGTAAATCAAATAAAGAAAGAATATCCTGCTCTTGGTACTGAACTACGTGTACACACACACACACACACACACACACACACACAGTTATAGCTAGACTCAATGTCAGGCATCAACAGTGTACCCACCTCCAACAGGCAATCTCGGGCTACCTGTCACAAACTGGAGAAATAACCTCTGTTGCTCATTATCAAAACTACTGAGAATCTCAAACAAAAACTTCACAGCCCGACTGTAACAAAAATAAATAATGTTATTTCATCATATTAAAATACAGATTGTATCCCAACACATTGCCAACTCACAATTAGCTAGAGACTGTCAAATTTAAGTATGACTAAATATGAATTCACATTCCAATGAACCCTGAAATCAAATTTGCTTCTATTGTTATAGCTAGAATTCAAGTGGAATGTTACCGTTATAATAACTAAGATTTGTGTGGGATTGTTCAGATATCCCTGTTTTACTATAAATATCAGAAATATCAGAAAATCTTCTTTAATATGTAGACAATTATAAAATACCCCCTTTTATTGTTTACAATATATACATACACAGACTACCAAATTCTAAGCTATAAATTGAACCCCTGGCAAACCCCAGCGCTCACCTATCATGAGTGTAACCGTGATCTGGCCTGCAGCATTCCATCAGTATTTTTGTATCCCAAGTGTCTGCTTTACTGCCACACAGGAGTTGATCCAGCTGTGCATTTAAATAAGGATAATGAATTACTCAAGATAATAGCTGTATAACAGATTGAAAGGCATATCATTGTTTGGTCTGAATGTAGTCAGGAAGAGTGTCATTTTCATATCAAAAACTTCTGTTAGAACCTCTTTAGATACTGTGCTTTTCTAATGCATTTACACATTCAATTTCCCTTTCCTTTGCGAATTAATAGGAATTCTGCCCATTTGTAGGGACTTAGCTCTAGAGAAGCCTTTAATTTCAAACAAAACATCTGAAACAAATCCTTAATTTAAGTTTTCCTAACTCTTATTGGTTCTTTAGAAATTTTAACTTGATAACATACTTCTAACCAACGAGATTTTTACAAATCTTTGCTTTTGGAATCACAAGGGTACTCAATAAGAAAAGCCAAGAGCTAGACTACTGAGCTAGAGAGCAATGAGAGAAGTTAAAATGAGACATAGCAAATTGGTAGTTTTTCACATTTTGCAAAAAGAGGCATGCCTATGCCATACAGTTGTTTAGGGCTGTATGAGGACCCTAATGATTGTTAGAAAGCAAAAAAATGCCTTTGTGTCCTTGGAAAAAATCTAACATCAGTTTCAAATCAAACCATCTTTTCTCTTGTTTAACTGTCCCTTTGCAGAATGACAACATACTTCTGAGAAAATCCAGTTTAGAACATATGAAATTAATATCGACTATGTGTCACTCACTATCAGGTACTTCAGTATCCTGTTCAGTGAGACAGAGGTTATCTCCATTTTATAGACAAGACAGTCAGATCAGGTACAACTACTTGGATATGGTCACACAGCTAGGCAGTGAGGACCAGGATTCAATTAGAGGAGCAACACTTGTTTCAATTCCAGGTGACATTTTAGTGCCTTAAAGTGCTAGGGAAGCCACATACTTCAATAGTTACCAAACCCAAATGTACATAAAAATAAGTGAGATTAAAATGCTGTTATTCAAAGATTTCCAGATTCAGCCAGTAATGAATGTGTATTCTAAAGCTAGTATTTAAAAAAAAAAAAAAAAAAAAAAGTTTGCAAACTGGGGAAACCAAACACATGACATTTCACATAGTTTCTTGAGATTCATGTTGCATTTTAGGATGGCTAGAAAAACTATGCATAAAATTATATTTTCCATTCTCAAAAGTATTCTCTGAATTTGGCAATTAATACATTTAATAACACTACCTTAAAATTTCAAGGACTAACTTGAATCTTGAAACCAAGTCTCATCTAATCCAGGAAGTTTAGTCAATAAAAACAAACAAACAAACAAACAAACAAACAACTACAAATAAAGACAGTGTGACCTCCTCAGTGTCAGTTTCATTACTCTAGACCCATGGTTCTCCCTGGCAACCACAGTACTACAGATACCTAAGTTCCACGCCCCACCAACCATCCAGGTCTCAGTTAACAACAATACTATGCTTACTCAATCACACATGGACCCCACTCCCTTATATTGATTATTTATATTACATTGAATACTTATATAATTCATATGTTATTTATACAGTATAAACTCTTATATTTGATGTTTAATGTTTTACTTGCTCAGGAAATGGCCTTATCTTTCTCAAAGATCCACCCCTTGCTCCCAACCTTCTTTTTGTTTGCAACAGTGGAGTCTGACTAAATAGCACAGAAATACCCCACTAAAATAATTAGGGCACAGAACTAGAAATGAACATTTCTTTTAGATATAAGCTACTCACTTCTTCTGGATAGAAGTACTGAAGATGACTGAGTGGGAAGACTGATTCAAATCCATCTCTGAACGAATCAAACTGCCTGGAAACGCCTTCATTTAGTGCCCAGAATATAACCAGCTACAGAAGAGAAAAATCTTTTACAAACTGTGACAAGATTTCAAATATTTTTCCCTAACAAAGTACAGTAAAACATTACTTAAAGTAAATAAAAAAAAGGACAAGTAACAATTACTGTTGTTTTAAATGTGAAATTTTTAGTTTTATATCCTGTTAAGTTCTTAGAATCCAACCCTTTGCTAAGTATGTGCACTTAGCAAAAGGCACAGTTCTAGAAAAGCAGTCACATAAAATTGAAGGGTAATAAAAAGCATCTGTAATTGGCCCAAACATTATCTAGTTATCAATCACTTTGATTAACGTATTTGGAAACAGAGGCCATATTCAGGTAAAAATAAAAACATTATTATAAATTATTTTCAGAGAACCTTAATCTGGATGTTAATGATTCATTTAATAGTATTAAACTGAAAGAAAAGCAGGTTAATAGTATCTAAGATTCTCTACTATCGTTTATTTCTCTCTCTCAAGCTGATAAGAAACCAGAGCTAAAAATTTTCAGAGGTTCTATTTAAAATCCCACAGTTTAATTAGTGGAAGAGTTGGGTCTAGGTGAAGGGTAATATTCCATCTTGAACATAATGCTCTTCCCACTCAATGTCTGGAAAAACCAAAAGAAACTTTTCAAAAAATAGCAATAAAGACCTACATAGGTTGTAATTTAAAATGTAATTTGAATTCAATATGAAATTATTTTTCCTTAATTCAGTGTATATAGATAAGGACCATGAATTGGTAATTTCAAAAGCCTCATCAAACCCACAAATGTGTGTGTGTGTGTGTGTGTGTGTGTGTGTGTGTGTGTGTGTGTGTGTGAGAGAGAGAGAGAGAGAGAGAGAGAGAGAGAGAGAGAGAGAGAGAGAGAGAAAGAGGCAATTCTTATGGCTTGATAGCAACTTAGTCACAAGGGATGACTCCTTTTCACTAATTTCTTCTCAAACTGTGACAAAATGTGATCTTCTTGGATAGTATTTAAGCTTAAGAATAGCAAACTCAAGATTGTATAAGGCATTGTGAAATACCCAATATGTCCTCTCATAGAAAAACAAAGCTAAGGTTGAAAAAGTCAACTTCATGCAGTGATCCCACAGGTCAAAGGTCTCAAACCATTCTGTCCAGACAGCTAGCTGGTACTTCATGCTTTAATGGACTGGTCCCTTCCCTCACCTTCAGAGCAGTAGCCATAAGCAAAGCTCTGCATCACTACAGGTGGTCTTCACCCCAAAGGACACTGCTATTACATACCCTTAGATATTCTTCTAGATTATAGATAGTGACGGGTATATCCTTTCCTCCTTTCTTCAGTTCAATGTTGGGAAACCCTGGCAGAGTAAAATCCAATCCCAGATCTTCAACGGAACAGCCATTCATAGTCAAGGTTTCTAATGCATATCGTAGACTCTCTTTGGTCTAGACAAAAGGGGAGTTTGTCAAATACAGCCATTCACTCAATTATGTTTATAAAATAAAAGATATGCTAACACATTTTATGAGTTTTTTTTGTTTTGTTTTTTTAGCTCTTAAGACTATTTTTTTCTTTTGTCATAATCTATACATGATCAAGTCACCGAGATCACAAAGGAAATAATCTTAAACACTCAGATTCCAACTATCTTTATATAAAAAACAAGATCTCAAGTGTTCATTCATAATGAGATGTTTGCTATCAATTTGATCATATGCAAATCAGATTTCTCAAAAAAGCCAAGATACTATGCATAATGGTCTACTTAAGAGTGTGGTCTGTGGAGTCAAACTTTTCATAAATTCCTGGCAAATCTTTATGAATTCAATATATGTATATAGCCAATACTGAGTAATACAATATAGTTAGGAAATTATAAATTCAAGTAAGTAAAAACAATGCACTATGTAGTAAAAAAAAATATTTTTTCTCTGCAAAGTCCAAGTCTAGAGAATATCCTATAGATTCTTAATCAGGACTAGAATAACAAATACATATTCATATAATAGCACTACAGTGAAAAAAGATTCCAACCAAGAAAAATCAAGTCACACTCTATAAACAAATATTAAAAGTTTGTATTATTCACTTTTTTAAAAGTGCTTAAGATTATATGGCTATGTTTTATAAAAATGTAATTTTTATTTTTTTTTATTAAGCATGAAAGACCAAAAGGCAAAACCACAAATTCTATCTGAAAATGAAGGTATCCACTACAGGAGAAAGAAGGCAAATGGGTTTCTGGATTGGAGATGCCTCTAAGTGCAGAAAATCAATCATTTCAAACAGACTGATTATTAAGTCATTTGACACTGTGAGCTCTAAATCAAGCAACCTGGGCTTGAAATCCACCTCTCACATCCTGGGTATGTGAGCAGCACGTTACTCAACCTACCTGCCTTGGGTTTCTCATGTGTAAAACTGGGATAACAGAAATACTTTAGTCTCAGAGGGTTGTTGTGGATTAAATAAATTAACGTTTGTAAGACACCTGGAACATGCCACAATCTTACTTTATTTCCTTGCTCCTATCCCTGGGCCATTACTTACCTAAAAGATAATCGATCCTAAATAAGATTATAATAGTTTAAAACTTACAAAGTTGATAAGCGTAAACCTAAATGGTTCTAAAAATCTGAAGACAAATACTGTATGGAAAACATAGACTTGGCAAAGATCTGGCTATTTCCCTTAATAAGTTTATTTCTCCAAAATCACCAACTATCAATTAATATGGAGCTAAGATGAACTTCCTTACAAATCATCCTCCCTGGCCAAAGGCGTTCTAAAACCCTCACCTGTCTACTATAAGTTTCTCTCCATTTTATTAAGAGAGATATGACTGTTTTCACATAAAAACTCTCCTTTATTCTTAATGGGAGTTGATTTACCTGCCCAATATAAGTTATCTGAGTCTCTGCCATTTAAAAAACAAAAAATACTACTTTGCCTTCTAATGTCAGATACAGAATCACTACTAATCTCAGACTGAGTGAAATGACTTTTTAGTAAAAAATATAAATGATATAAAATTCAAGATTACCCATGAAATCTAACAGAAATTTTAACACGTGTTCCAAAAAAAATAGTACACAGCCACTATGATCTTTAAAGATATCATCCTGAAAACTCCTTAGAAACAAATGGACTGTTCCTAAATTTAGCCACATTTCAGGAACAAAACAAAACAATACAAAAAAACAACAAAAATCGATCTGACCTAAGAACAGTCTTCTTGATTCAAATGCTTACTAAAAGAATTCAGTCTGACATAATATCTGGCCAGATACAAAACACCCATATAAAATTTAACAAATAAGAGCCTTTGATTTCAGTTAAGAATGTATTGTTTTTGCAAATTAAGCCTTTTACTCATCATTGCTATTATTATAGGCCATCTTACTATAAGATCACATTTCAGTTGTGGTACAAAAGTTAGTCTTCTAAAATAACATTAATAACTGTGTCAAATACAAACTAGTTAACAAAGACCTCATCTTTCTACAATAAGTAACTGATCCACTTGGAGGTTTCCTCATCTTGTAAGCCTACCTGGGATTTATCTTGTTCAAGTCTTTTCTTCTGTCTGACAACGTCTTCTAGGTGATACACTGATCTGGCTACCACTGGGTCAATGTCAAACAAATCGTGTGACGTCAGTGAAGTTTCTTGCCGTAGCATCCACTTATAAAAGGGTAAGCCAAGGGGAAGGTCCACCTGAAAGGGAATATGCAAAATATTTTAACAGTCACAGCTTCTAGAATTGTCTCAATTCTATAACTGTCAAAAGGTCATTTAAATAGGTCAAATAATATTTCCCTCATTATATGAAACAGTCCCCATTTAAATTCAATCTGGGGCCCTGATATGAAATTTTAAAAATACTTAAGTACTCCATTTAAACAATGACCCTAGTAAAATAATTTTTCAATGACGGATATATATATATATATATATATATATATATATAGTCTCTATAAGGGCTCAATATCAAGTGATGTTTAAAGGAAAGAGTTAAAAGAACCAACTGATTATCATCAAGAGAAAATAAAATGGAACTTCTGAAATAACTGGTGAACAGACCATTCTTCGGTTACAGTGAAACTGTAAGCTTGTGAATATGATATCAGATGAAAATGTCTTCTACATACAGAGAAAAGTATCCTATAAAATGCGAGAAAAGTAAATGGAGGAAAAGCTGGAAATATTCAGAACTCAGTGAATACGTATTTTCTTGGATTATCTTCATTCTAGCTCTCTAATGGCAAATTATTTTAAGTTTAATTACATACTCATATCTTCCTACTGGATTAAAACTATGATATCAAACACTTCAGAAATATATCATTAAGTCCCATGCCTGATTCTGAGCCTCTGCTTCTAACAGAACATGGACCATAGATTGGCATTTGGGCATCATCTGGGAGCTGGTATGAGAATGTAGAATCTTAGGCCTCAACCTTGAACTACTGAATCAGAATTGGCTTTTGTTAACAAAAATCCCTAAGTAATTCATATGCACATTAAAGTTTGTATAGCACTGTTTTAAAATACTGCATTAAGCACATGGGATTAGGAATTTTCATATAATACAAGCACACAAAAATTTATAGAAAAGCAAACTTACCAATCTGAAATCCATAATAGCCTTGGCCATTAATTTTCCTAAGAAGCGAAACTTCATCTTAACCTTTGCAATATGAGCTGGCTTTGCTGTCCTACCAAAGGGAAGTGCAAACAGGCCCTGGAGGTTTTGAATATACTTGGTCCCTTCTTGGCTTCCTGTAAATAAGTGACCAAACTTTACATGCGTTCTCCCAAAACAAGACAAAACAAAAACTGGTAACTGAGAACATTTAAGAAAGTCAATATTCTCAAAATCATATTAGTTTGGTCCTCTAGAGCTGAAGGGCCCTCCTCTTAATTGATAAATAAGAAAAAGGTTAAAATAAATTAAGGTCAGAGAGCATGGTCTTCTGTTAAATATATTTAATGAGTTGAAAGGGCCCTTTACCTGATCTGAATAACACAAATTGACAGACTCAGATTAATATTACCTTTAGGATTACTAAGAGTAACTTCTTCACCTCTCCAAAGACCCAAGTCAGCTCTCTGTAGTTCCTGAGATACAAGTGCATAAAACTCCAGTGTAGGCCCAAGACCTGTACCAACCTACAGAAGAATAAAAGTAGAACAATTTCAAATTTTAGAATTAGCATTGCCCCTTTTTTTTAACCTGCAAACCTCTCAGCAATGTGGAACTAACAGACAGTATTTATCAGGATGCAGTAGAGATTATTTATCCAGCTATCCTGACTGTATTTCTTCAGTTTTGATCATCTAGAATAAGAGCTAGCAATCCTTTCTAATTTCCTACTCATATATATGGCCCCAACTTAGCCTCAGAGAGTACATTAGTGCTTGTTAAGCCCATGGTGCACTGGGATGTTCTGAGAGCTGTTTAACATGCACATGTGGGGGGTGGGCATGTCCTGAAGACTCTGATTTAATGGGTGGGTCATTTCAAGCCTGGGCACTGGTACCTTGAAACATGCTCCCAAGAACCTATATGGTCTGAGCTTACCCTCACGGAAGAAGGTATGGTTTGCATATGGCTGTTTCCCATTCTCTCTTTGGTGAATGGTAATTCTGAAACCAGCTCAAATGCCACCTCTTCAGGAAAAGCCTCATCTGCCCAATTAGTTTGTTCCTTTCCTTAGGAGTTACATTTCAGTTACTAAGTACTTATCATATCACACTGTCAGCATGGCATTATACACCTGATCCCACCCAAGGGTAACTTTAACCAGTTAACTGCCACACTATTTTGATTTAAAAAGTCTGCTGCTTGTGTCTATAGACGCTTATGGTGTACACATGGTTAATTCACCTCTGTATCCTCTAAAGTGCCCAAGCACACACTAGCCTTTAACATAGGTTTGTTAAATAAACACAAATAAGGGGAGGTCTGACTCCATAACAGCACACACTGGGCTAACTTAGCCTCAGGGAGTAACCAATGTTTCTCAAGCCCATGATGATGCACTGGGATCTCCTGAGAGCTGTTTAACATGCACATGAGGGTAGGCACATGCTGAAGACACTAATTTTGTAGGTGGGTCTCGTTTTGATTCTGGACACCGGTATCTTAAAACAAGAGGTAACTGTACAGCCAGCAATGAATGAAAACGCTTCCTCCACGAGAAAAGTGAGCCTGAGACAATGTTCAGACTAGATGTTCCTTCATGTTCTATCAAGGTCCTACCAGCTCAGACAATAAGCTAGATATGCAACTAAGAACAAGTTAATACCAAAGTCTATAGGCTAAATCTAACCACTGTCCTGTCAAGAAGGCTGTACTTCATGTGTACAGTATTTGCAACTAATGGGCACTATTTTACCACTAGAGGCCCAGTGCACAAAATTTGTACAAGGATAAGGTCCCTAGGTCTGGCTGGCAATCAAGGCTGACCTGTGGGGTGACTGGCATAGCAATCAGGAACTCCCACAGGCACCCGCTTTGGCTGGCCTTGCACTGCCCATCCCACCCTCCTCTGCCACCGCTTGTCAGGTCCTGCTTCTGCATTGAGCATCTGTCCCACTGGTGGTCAGTGTGCATCATAGCGACTGGTAGTTCTGCCATTTGGTCGATTTGCATATTAGGCTTTTATTATATAAGATTATCACAGTAACCACACTAGCTTAAAAGATTAGGTGCAGTCCACCAAAGGTTTAACTTAAGTTTCCAAATAGTGATCTGTTGGAACTTGCTGATGTGTTCCTAATCCACCCCATCCCTTTATTTTTCCAAAGCAGTGAAGGGCATCAGTGTTCAGCCCACACTCCAATCCAAACCTGGGAGCCACCTGTGGCTCTTCTTAGTCTTACAGTCCACATTGCAATCAATCATTAAACACTAAGCCTGCCCCACCTTTACAACATACTTTAAACTGTTACCACCAATATCTCTTGTCTGGTCTCTGCACCAGCATTCTTGGCATCTCATAACCTATCCTCACAGTACTAAGAGAGAGCCTTACAAAACATAGTTTTGTATCGTTCTTCCACACCATCTGAGGCTTCCCATCTCACTCAAAGCAAAAGCTCAGGTTAAAAAACTGCCCACTGTCGAAACAGGTTTGGCTCAGTGTTAGAGCGTCAGTCTGTGGACTGAAAGGTCCCAGGTTCGATTCTGGTCAAGGGCATGTACATTGGTTGCGGGCACATCCCCGGCTGGGGATGTGCAAGAGGCAGCTGGTCGATTTTCTCTCTCATCGACGTTTCTAGCTCTCTATCCCTCTCTCCTCCTATCTGTAAAAAATCAATAAAATATATATTTAAAAAAATAAAAAAATAAAAATAAAAAACTGCCCACATGTCCTATGATCTCTCCTCCCACCATGTAGCCACACAGTCATTTGCCACCAAAGGAGTGTTGCCTCAGGGTTTTTGCATGTCCTTTTGCTAGAGAAATTCTTCCACTCAAATGTCACTTATAACACACTGTCCCCTCTATTCATACCCCATCTTCCTATTTTCCTTTCTTTTTCTTCATCTCATAGGGGTGTGTGTGTGTGTGTGTGTGTGTGTGTGTGTGTGTGTGTACTTCCCCAAACTAAAAGAAAAACCCCATGACGATATGTACTTTGTACATTTTTTCTCCACTGGGCCTTGGAGGAAAAAAAAGAGGGCAAAGAGGAGAGAGAAGCAAGAAAGAAATGAATAAAACTACAGTAATACCTGATACCCACAAGATAGTGCTTTAAAGTCAGTTCTTTCTCCCTTTAGCATACTATTACTATGCTAAATAGAAATTACAGATCAAAAGAGTTTATTTCCTTCATTCAAATACTGTTATTTCCATAGGTAAAACAGACAACTTAAAATATTAAATGACATGAAATACTCAAATGTACATCAACTGGTGATGAAACAGCAATAAAAGGAAACAATAGCATGGATGAATCTCAAAAGCCTTATACTAAGTAAGAGAAGAGTAACAAAAATGATTACATGCTTTATAATTTCATTTATTATGATACTGTAAAAAAAGACAAAACTACAGGGGCAGAAAACAGATCAAAGGCTGCCAGGGACAGGGGATGGAGAGCAGGCAAAGACTGTAAAGTAGTCTAAGAGAATGTTTTGGGGTAGTGGTTGGATTTTTTTTCTTTATCATGATGTGGTAATGATTACAGACTGTATACTTGTCAACTCCTTCACAGGACCAAGAAACTTGAATGACACCTTATCAAGGACACATATCATGCTCAAACTGTCCCGACTCAAAAGCTCACCTCATTTTCATACTGAATTTCTAACATGGCCCGTGAGCTGCCAAGATCCTGCATCACAGACTCGGCTTGTTTCAGCAGCTCTTCTCTGTTCACAGTACGCTACAAAATAAAGTACAAAAGTGAGGAAAATAAACACACATTACACTTTAATAAATAGGTGCTTTTTCTTGAAGTGCAAAAAAATCTTTTTTTTTGTTTTTGTTTGTGCAAAGCATCTCTCAGAAAAGGTTAAGAAGTAGCTGTGTTGCTATAAACATCGACAGCATTCCAAGCATACACATATGAAAAAAACTTAGATGTAAGTGTAATTTTTATCTTGAGGCTGTGGCAAGTTCAGGAAATTCAAGTTGGAAAAGGACCTCTGAAACATTGCCAAACATCAAAGCAATTCGGGGCTGCAGTATTTTAACATATTCCTGGGTGCACTTATAGGCAGATGATGAAGAAATAGGAATGGAGGTCATAGGAAAGCTGGAAACCTTACCACTGTCCTGCAGAGATCTACAAATATTTACTAATGAGATTCATGAGGATGAGAAAGGTCTTGGCAAATCTCCAAAGTCTACCAGCATAATTTTCATGGAATCCTAATGGCACATATCAAGATATGAGTAGCAAGTGTTAAAAGGCAGTGTATTGGCATAAGTGTAGGACTGCGTCTCAAATGCAAATGGCTTAGAGCTGTGTGTTTTAGGGCTATGAGTATGGAACTGGATTAGAAGCACAGGAAGATAAAGTCAGCAACACATGGGGCTAACTGGTCTATGGACATGAAATTTATCAAAGATTTTGTTTCAGTTGCTTCTAATTGGAGTAATTTGCTAAGGAAATAAAGTAGAACATTAATTGCACCTACTGAGTAAGGGATCAATTATAAAAATAAAAGCCTAATATGATGTGTCTGACCATTTGTTCAGCCATTTTACCAGTCGCTATGATGTGCGCTAGATGCTCTGAAAAGTAGGTTAGCTTACTGCTGGAGTCCAGCTGATTGGGACTTGGCAAGACAGGCTGGACACGCCCTGCAGTCCTCCCACAGTCTCTCCCTGGCCCAGATTGATAACGCACTAGTGGGGTCCCTCAGCCTGACCTGCACCTTCTTGCAATTGGGGACCGACCCTTCAGGGGATGTCAGAGAGCTGGTTTCGGCCTGATCCCTGCAGGCCAGCCCGAGAGATCCCACTGGTGCACAAATTCATGCACCAGGCCTCTAGTCAATTATTAAAGGGGGGCTAATTTGAGTTACTAATTTAGAAAGGAAGAAAGACTAATTAAGAAAAGACAAGGTATTTCCTTGGCACAAGAGTTAAAATATAGAAATTATTTCAGAAACTGAGAAAAAGTACTCTAAGTGCAGAATGAAAAAGAATCATAGGTAGCACAGTTCCAAGAGACTTATAGGAAAAGATGGCTAAATGATGATTTAAAAAGATAAGCAAAGAGATGACTGTGACAAAGGCAGCCCTCTAAACTAATAAGATATAATTAGGTGTACCATATTTCTAGTTTTCCCATTATATTTTGAAAAGCTCAATTTGATTTATCTTTAAAAATTTGGGGGAGAGCCAGGCCTGGAGCAGCGGCTGCCAGGCTGGGAGCGGCCAGGCCCGGGGGAGCAGGCGGGTCGGGTGCGGCCAGGCCTGGAGCAGCGGCTGCCAGGCTGGGAGCGGCCAGGCCCGGAGCAGCCGGGTCGGGTGTGGCCAGGCCCGGAGCAGCGGCTGCCAGGCTGGGAATGGCCAGGCCCGGAGCAGCAGCAGCCAAGTCCAGAGCAACTAGGTCGGGAGCGGCAGTGACCAGACCCGGAGCAGCTGGTTGTGGAACGAACCAGAGCAACAGAGGCCAGGCCCTGAGCAGCCAGGCCCGGAACAGCTCGCTCCTCGCCTGCCCCTGCCCCACAGCTGCTTCTCAGACATGGCTGGAAACTTTCGTGGGAACTTGAGGGTCTGCTGAATCAAGCGATGAAGGCTTAGATCTGGATGTGTTGAGTTAGTATAGGGCTGGGGTGTTGATCTGTGAGTGCCTTGGGTGGGGCCTGGATGAGGCTGGTGGACCTATTGGGAAATGTCTTTTGTGTGAAGTGTATCATTGGGCATGTGGAGGTATTATTGATTTGAGAAAATGCTAAGTAACTGATTTTCTATCTGAAAAGGGATTTACTATTGGGGAAAGGGAGGGAAGAAGAGACTGAACATAAATTGCACCTATGGATGAGGACAATGGGGGATGGGGAGGGGTCAGAGGGTGGGGTGGGAACCTGGTGGAGGGGGGAAGAAATGAGGAACCTTTGTAATAATATGAACAATAAAGATTGATTAAAAAAAAAAAAATTGGGGGAGAAACTTACCTTTTTTCTATCCAATCTAGGTGCAACTCTGCTATCTTGAGAATCAGATTGGTTGATTTCTGGATTGGTATCAAGTAATCTTTGCATTGCTCGGTCCCGATCAAATGCAGTTACATAAAAAAGCATTTGCCGAGTATCAAAAGGGAAGAAAAATGGGCTGTAAAAAGATGCGATATAAATTTATTATCTGAATTAGAATCAGAAACCATAAAAAATCCCTATATTAGAAATAAGTTTTAATATGATACAGAATAACTGTAAATATGACCAATAAAAATGGTCTGAGTAAACTAATTTTGAAGAATTTCCTTAGTAGTTGTATGAAATTTGTTAAGTGATCACATAATAATGCATTAAGTAGCCTATCACGGTGAAATCTGAAATTATACATTAAAATTCTATGTTTGAAATCAAGTGTATTCAAGATCATCTATAATATACCTGAAGACCTTTAGGAAGTATAACACGACTAGTGAAAACTCAATTTTTAAAATCTGATCACCACTTCACAAGGATTAATAGCCTATCCCAGTAGTCAGCAAACTGCGGCTCTCGAGCCATATGCCGCTCTTTAGCTACATGCGGCTCTCTGGCCCCTTGTGTGGCTTTTCCACAAAATACCACGTGCAGGCTCGCACATACAGTACGATTGAAACTTCATTGCCATGTGCAGAAGTCGCTTTTCGCTTCTTAAAAGAAATTTCAATTGTTGTATTGTTAATACTTGGCTCTGTCGACGAATGAGTTTGTTGACGACTGACCTACCCCATTCCACATATACACAAATACTGGCTTTACTAGTTCATGATTTTTTTCTTAGCTTTGGCATTTCTAAGTCACTCAAAGATGCAAAAGGTAGCTGCAGTAACAGAGGCTCTACTACTTCCTGATGAATGATTTTTGATAGCTCTTGACACAGAGGTACCTGAGCACTTCCTGTGGTGACCTAATGTTCAGTATTTGTTTCTGTCCAATACAGGTAGCCATGTAAGCATATGGCTAGTGTGACTAAAAACATTTTCTCATTTTATTTAATCTAGATGTAAATAGCCACACGTGCTTAGTGGCTACTATACCGAGAATGCAGTTCTATAGTTTCTTTTTTTTTTTTTTTAAATATATTTTATTGATTTTTGAACAGAGAGGAAGGGAGAGAGATAAGAGAGTTAGAAACATCAATGAGAGAGAGTCATCGATCAGCTGCTTCTTGCACACCCCCTACTGGGGATATGCCCGCAACCAAGGTACATGCCCTTGACTGGAATCGAACCTGGGGCCCTTCAGTCCCCAAGCCGACCCTCTATCCATTGACCCAAACCGGTCCCGGCAAGTTCTATAGTTTCTAAGAATACAGGTGTGGACCCAAGCAGGATCAGAGAATCACTCAATTCCACCTTTGGAATCTGATTTTATTGTGGCAGAGGATTTTAATCTCTTCAGTCAAATATCCTTGTGTACTTTCCTATTTCATATAAGCAGACATATACAATCAAGTAGACCTAGTACTAGTCTCAACTTGCCTAGTCTGTTTGGATGCTAAAGCCATATGAGTAAGCAAGCTATGATCAAATATGACAGTTACTAAACACATTAAGCAGGTTTACTAAACACTGTTTCTGTAACAAAATATAAAGACCAAGACAATGATAATACTCCCAAGGCCACTATATAGAAGTGGTAGTCTTACCAGGTTTTTCCTAGTTCAGTAAGCCATGTTGGGATATTTCCTGTCATGATTACTAGAGGATCTTGAAGCTGCCTGTTTGCTTTTGCTGTCAACTTACTGTTATTAAATTCACCAGTTGGAATTATCTCCTTGCACATTGCATTCTGCAAAATGTTTAAGAAGAAAGTCAGTATTTAGTAAAACAGGACTATATTCACTCTCTCTTCCTTTATCTCCAAATATGTATACAAAGTGCTCAGATTTCACTTGTTTCCAAAATACAATATACAGCTTCTCATTGTTGTTTCCTAACACAAATGGAGACTTTCTATAATACATAGCTGAAACATCTCAACCTCCACATGCTACGAGTACCGGCTCAATCACTGATGTGGGAACTAATGCTTTATGCAAGGCCAACTCCTTCATTCTTTCCTACACTATATAAATATCAAAGACCGCATTCAATTTTCACCCAACTCTTTACTTAATATATATCTTAACTTAGATAAGTGAACTTTGGGTTAAATGTACATAAAGAATTTTAATTATAATAAAAGTATGTTCAATTTCATGCTATAGCTTAATTTAATAAATTTATAAGTATGCCAAGAGAATGAATCTAAAAATTAGGACAGGAAATAAAAGGGGAGAAGTTCCTACTGATGAGTACATTGTACTTTAGTGGGCCAGGAACCCTGTATTTAGCAGTCACTGTTTCTGTTTCTAGTACAACAGGAAATTCATAAATCGCTAGACAGAAACTATGAGATAACATGTAACGAATAACAGCACATCATGGAAAACTTCCAATAATACTCACATCATACAAGTAATACCAGTATCGACTGATGGCATGTAAAACTCTTAAAAGAAGAATCACATCTAATGATGGATCTTCAAAAGTTATATTTTCAGGTGGTGTAGGTATGAGGTAAACTTCTAAAGGATTTGATACTGATGGGCACACTCCATCTAGTGGGCAAAAGATCAAAAGTTAACTGTTATAGTTAGAAAGGCCAAGAGCCAGTGTCTTCTTATCATGCCTAAAATAGTACTTGTAAGTTATTAAGATTTAATGCTTGGATCTTATTGGTAGAGCATTCATAGCTTGAACTTTTTTTTGTTTTAAATCTTAGACATTAGTCATCCAGATTTATGAAATTTCCTTTCCTTTCCATATACAAATAAACATCTTAAAGGAGAAAAACTAACTTATTTTCATTTCTTTATACCAGAAATAATAATTAACAATAAAATAGCCAAAGAGGAGAAAAGACAAAATGTTTAAATTTAACTTCACTGTCATAGACACTGCCAGTATATTTTAGATTTGGTTACTTAATCCAAGGCTTAGGATAGGGTAGAATTTGGTAGATTCCAAGCAGGAATTGTTATTCCTCTGTTCTTACATATCACCAAGTAGCATGAAAATAAAAATAATTAAGTGAGGGATTGACACTGTTGCCATTTGCTTTAACCGAGCAAAAGAATTAAGAATCACAACACTATCATTGCATAAAAAAGTTAATTCTTATCACCATAAACAAACAAAGACCTCTTTAAAAAGAACGAACTTGGCTTTCTGGGGAAAAAACAATTTCCTACAATGCTCTTATTTATGGAAAATTTCATCAACTGACACCAGTGTTTGGAAATCCCTGATAAAGAAGTTCCTATGGAATGAGAATGTGGACAAATGCTAAAGCATCATATCTAATAAAGAGTAATATGCAAATTTACCATTGCTCCAAGACAGATGGATGCCCCCATGTGGATACAAGATGGCCACCACAAGATGGCCGGCAGGAGAGGGCAGTTGTGGGCAATCAGGCCAGCAGGGAAGGGCAGTTAGAGGTTACCAGGCCAGCAGGGGAGGGCACTTGGGGGCGACCAGGCCTGAAGGGGAGGCCAATTAGGGGCAATTGGGCCAGCAGCGGAGCAGTTAGGCAGCTATCAGGCTGGCAGGGGAGTGGTTAGGGGATGATCAGGCTGGTAGGCAGAAGCAGTTAAGGGCAATCAGGCAGGCAGGTGAGCAGTTGGGAGCCAGCAGTCCTGTATTGTGAGAGGGATGTCCGATTGCAGTGGAACATCCCTCAAAAAGTCCCAGATTGGAGAGGGAGCAGGCTGGGCTGAGGGACACACACCCTCCCCCATGCACAAATTTTGTGCACCAGGCCTCTAGTTACTATCATATAAAAGAGAGGGGAAGGAAACCAGCAAAATTATAAGAAAATACTGTAAAGGAAAAGAAGTCATTTGGGAGATGCTATTACATATTACTCTCTATTGGCCATTATAATACCTGGCAAAATTTTTTATTCCTTTCTTCATCAGTGGATTATACTATCATAATGAATGCCAATAAAAATTAAGGGCCCATCTGCCAATGATCAGTCTCTTCTTTAGTGAATGTGTTATGTTACTTAATTAGTTCTAGCCTTCATGCAAACATGAGTTCTTCATGGGGAAAAAATGAGTTTTTCCCAATTTTCTTACCAAATTTAATTTTGCAGATATTTATGTTTTCATGTTCTAGACTTTAAAGTCAAGGGTTCAATTAAAAGCCATCAAATGTTGGCAGTAATTTCATTTTTTTTCTAAGTTTTACTCAAAGATTTTACTACTACTAGATACAAATAAATCACTCCTTTAAAACCATGAAGACAGATACTGACCTATGGCAGTTTTCGTTTCATATTGCAACTTACCATGCCATAACTCATCGTGCTTTTTTGCATTTCTAGGGGAAGTTTTTGTTGGAGCTGTTTGGGCTCTTCCTCTTTTACCACCAACACAATCTTTATTACTTTCTTCATCCTCTCTCACAGGTTTGTACCTAAAGTGAAGGGTATAGTTAAACCAAAAGCAGATTTTAAACTGCAAATTATTCCACAAGGCCAAAGTGCAAGCCACAGATACTAGAGTTACCAGAGAACTCTGTGAGGTCTATCTTCTCTCTCTCTCTCCCTACTTACAGATTCAGAAAATACCAATGGCGCTGCTTCCTAGAACATCAAGCAGCTGAGAACAGCAGCTCTCTTTAAATGCAAGTAGCAGACATTCACAAACAAGACAAAGTTGCATCCAAATGTTTCTCAAGATTCAGAGATGCCTCAATTCCTAATAGCTAAAGGAAAATCATCTTACAAAAACATGTTTTATTTAAATACCGGAAATAAATCTAGAAAAGTAGATATATAAACTATAATTATATCCAAGAATACATTTTGTATCTAGTTGACTTAATGAGGAAGATAAACACACACACTCATGCACCCAACATGTGCTCACACACAAGATATTTGAAGTGGCTTTTAATGATGAAATGTGGGATTTAGGGTCTCTTCTCCAAATCAGCCACTCTAAATACAAGAATAGAGTCCAAGTAGGTGAAGACAAATAAACAAACATACAAAATCATTTTGAGATTTACCATATTGTATGAGTCTTCGTCCAAATACCAGCTCTTCCTAGAGGATTGCTCTCATCATCAGTGGATTCTCTTTCATCCTCAGCCTGAATACTGAACTGCCGTACTGCCTGATACACAGTCATGTTATACGGTAGCAAATGGTCTCCAATGTAAAACTGCAGCCTGTGTCTTACATTTCCTGAATTTAAGAATTGAGCAGCCTGAAAGAAGCAAAACAAAATCTATTTAACCTATAGGCCCTGAACATTATACATGACAACATGGTGGGAATAGTACCTTACCAGAGATTCATCTATTTCCTCATCAGAGCCATCATCATCACTGTCTTCATCGTCTTCTCTTACTCTTCCATAACCTAAAAACCCAAGAAGGTTGTTAAACTTCTAGCAAATTTTACATGACAAAGAAAAGCCTGTAATTACATTTAAGTTAATATAGTCTTAGAAAAACACTTTAATCTACAAAGCAGAAAGATGTAAGAAAAGTGTCAAATACAAACTGTCATTTCTACTATATTTCAACAAGAAAAATTAACTTATCACTCAAGTAAAGCAGTCAAACTCGGCTACATTGAACACATTTCTACATACTGCACATAAAACAAATGACGGGAACACAAGTTCTTAATGCTAGGTTTTAATAGAAACATCAATAAGAAGGGAAATAATTTATAAACTCTTTAGTTTTATCCCAAATGTACATACAAACACACAACATATATTATGAATACCTCTAACTACAAGGTATCTCTCAATCGCTTGTACCAAAGCCAGGGGGTCAATCTTGACAGGTCCACCCTTCCACTGCTTCACATTTGCACAGTCTGGATGTCTCTGTAACTGGCATTTTAACTGGTGTGTGTTGAAAAATTTTAAAGCCTGTGATCCTCTGTTAAGAGAAAAGCTCAAGATAATTTGTGAAAAAAAGTTAATTCTATTATTTTCAAAACCAACAAAATTAATTCAAATAAAAGCAAGACAATACAAACTCTGCATTTTCTTAAGGCACAAAGTAAACACTTAACAACAATTCAAGTAATTTATTATAAAATGACAAATGAAATGATGCCCGCTATAAAATCACTTTTAAAACTTTACTGTTGACCTAACTTGTTTGGCTCAGTGGATAGAGTGTCAGCCTGCAGACTGAAAGGTCCCAGGTTCGATTCATGGTTGCGGGCGCATCCCCAGTAGGGGGTGTGCAGGAGGCAGCTGATCGACATTTCTCTCTCACTGATGTTTCTAAGTCTCTATCCCTCTCCCTCTCTCTGTAAAAAAAATAATAAAATATATTTTAAAAAAACCTTTACTGTTGGCACACAAACATATTATTAGTTTCATGTGTATAGACTTGGCTATATTCTTTTGAATGAAGTAGTTCAATAGCTACACTAGTCTAAATCTGCTCATTTCAGAAAAGGGTTGGCAGGTGTAAGATGACAGACAAGCTTAAAATATGTTTATCTACTATGTTTCATAAATCATGTAAATAGGGGTTATGGGAAATATTCTAGTATATTAATATATACATATGTACATACTTATTTATATAAATTTGGGTAAAAATGAAAAGCTTCATGGTTTCTCAGCACAGTAGAAAATGTCCCCTCATTTTACAAAATACTCCTGTATAGATCAATGTAATGATCAAACCTGAGTATCAGCCCTAGTTGGTTTGGCTTAGTGGATGGAGTGTTGGTCTGTGGACTGAAGGGTCCCGGGTTCGATTATGGTCAGGGGCACATGCCTGGGTTGCGGGTTCAATCCCCAGTAGGGGTCTTACGGGAGTCAGCCAATCAATGATTCTCTCTCATCACTGATGTTTCTATTTCTCTCCCTCTCCCTGCCTGCCTGTCTGAAATAAAAAAAAAAAAAAAAAACCTGAATATTACACTCTACATTAAATTTCAAGGTATAAAAAAACAAACCTCGTCCACATTCATCAATTTATCTACTCAAAATGCATAGTTTTAATTCAATCAAAATTTTGATTGTTTTAAAAACACACCAGATGTGTATTTTAAGGATTAAAAAAACTAACTTCTAATTTACCAGACTTCTAGTTATATTATTCTAGGAAGCTTATAACTTCATATAAAAAAAACAACAATTAACTCCTACGATAAATTCTTCCTACAGCATCTCATTGAGTCCTATAAAACTATTATTGAAAAAACAAGTTATATTTAAAACAGCAAAACTTCAAAATAAACATACTTGTTAAAACCCACCACAATACAAAGTTATAAGCACTTACATCACATATAAAAATCACTCTATTGCACAGAAACGTAAATGTTTTATTTTCCACATCCACAAAATTCTTTTTTTTTTTTTTTTTTTTTTTTTTTTTTTAAAAATATATTTTATTGATTTTATACAGAGAGGAAGGGAGAGAGATAGAGAGCTGGAAACATCGATGAGAGAGAGTCATCGATCAGCTGCCTCTTGCACACCCCCTACTGGGGATATGCCCGCAACTAAGGTACATGCCTTTGACCGGAATCGAACCCGGGACCTTTCAGTCCCCAAGCCGACGCTCTATCCATTGAGCCAAACCGGTCCCGGCGACATCCACAAAATTCTTGAAGAAAAGCATTATAAAGTGTGTCAATTTACGGAAAACAGTTTGCAAATTGCCAATAGTGACTGGGTTATATATTTTTAAACCATTATGTTTAAGAAACAGTATGATTTTAAAGATAAACAGTATTTTATTTACCTTTTTAAGTCTATTCAATTTCTTCAGTAATGATAGCTAAGTGTTCTTTAGGCAGATGTTACCAGACCTCTTGCCACTAATGAATCTTATCTTAATAAGATTCATTAAGCACAAAGGAAAAGGGCACACTCAGGCAATGATCCTTACCTGCCTGCTGTCCCATTCCCACTGGGAAAGTCATGCACTTTGACTGGAAACTGTTCCATCTGGCTAAGGCAGTTGTTCATCTTGTGTACTAATGCCAACAAAGGTGCATTACCGACTGGTTCTACTCTTCCAACGGGCTCTTCTCCAGGAAGCTGAAGTTACAAATAAATCAATAGTTTATTGAACAGGGAACACTACTCAACAAGAAATTTTAATAATAGGCAGTTTTACAAAAGGAAACCATTCATCTATTCTCTTTCTTTTTTTTGTATAGCAGAAGAACAAGAACAGACTCCCACAGGGGGAGGGGGAAAGAATCCCTACCATCCATCCATCCATCCATTTTCTTTTATTGTTTCATTTGATGGCAAAATCTGACTCAGACAAACATAGTTTTTAGTTGAAGTATTCATGCTTTACAACAAAAATATTTATTGCATCCGGAGTGAAATTTATAATCTACTGGGGACACCAAGTAATATATGGTTTATGTATTATATTGTAGAACTCTTGAAACCCAAAAAGCCCCAAGGGATTTCAGAAAAGAGACGATACCTGTGTAAAATATTAAGTATGGGAGAAAAGTACATCCAATATTGCTACATATCTTATGACTCTCTAATAAATAACTGTGCTTCGGGTAGTTCCACAAGTTAAAATAATATAAGCAATGCTCAAATCCCCACCAACTGGAAAGGCATAGGGTAAAGGAGTTTTGCTCACACACATCAGAACTACCCTTGGTCCTACTACACAGAGGAACCAGAGAAACTTCCCTAGAAATGCCTTAAGCAGCTGTAAACTAATAGTGTAAAAATCAAGTTTCCAAGGACAGTTATTCTCTAGCTCTCAGTTACTAAGGGTAAAGAAAGAGGAGCTACTCTGAATTCTGGCCTTATAATTCACATTGTAAATATGACTAAGCACTTTTGAATGGAATTTTTTAATACAGATGGTCCCCAACCTAAGACAGTTTGACTCACAATTTTTTCAACTTAACAATGGTGAGAGATTGAGAAGAACTCAGTAGAAACTGTACTTTGAATTTTGATATTTTTCCAGGGTAGTGACATGTGGTATGATACGTTCTCATGATGCTGGCCAGTCCTAAGTGAGTTGCGGCTGCAGTCGGGCACATGATCACGAGGATCAATAACAGATCCTCTACAATATACTGTGCTGCCAGTGTTTTGGGGATATTGTGTTCTAAGCATGGTTAAGATTGGCTAGGCTGAAATATGACGTTCGGCAGGGGTGAAACTATGATATATTAAATTTTTGATTTAAGATATTTGCAATTTATAATGGGTTAATTGGAATGTGACCCCATCCTAAGTCAAGAAGCATCTGCTATGTTTTACATACAAAGTGGAAATATATATGTCTACCTTATGGGTATAGTTATACTATGTCTACAGTAGCTAGCTAGATCATCTGTCTATTTCAAACTCCAATAAGTTTGGAAACAAATATTGAGAATAAAATGCATTCACAGAGGAGAGACTACAGTTAATGGGTTGTCCTGCAGAAAAATCAAAGACTCAAGATACACTGACCATGGAAACTTTGGCATTAGCTTCATTAAACCACCATTGTTGTGTTACTGCTTACTTCATACATAGAAGACCAAGAAACACAACTATGTACAAGCAAACTAGGAACTTTAACTGAATACCTTGACCAAAATCTATTGGAAACTACTACTGGGATAAATAGATACATAAATGAACATGGATTCTTATAATAAGATTCACACAAACATTATTAGATAACTTACTGGGGAAGAAAAAAATACATGAAGAAATCTCTTTAATCTGATCTCTCTGGTCACAGCATCCTTTTCACTTTTAGATGTTAAATACAGCAACAGCTGCTTAACAAATCCACTATGTTGGATTTCAAAAGATGAAACATCTGACTCAGAGACTATGCTACGGATCTCTACAAGGCACTCAGCTCCACCATCCACCTGAAAGAGTTAGAAATAATATTTCTGTATTAATTTCAATAGCCCTTACATTTACATTCCTCAAATGAAACTGAATGCATTCTTAATACCATATCAAAAAAGGAAGGGGCCTGGTGCACTCTTGGTAGATCCTTGGGAAAACATGCTATTACACACACATTCACAAAAGATTAAATATTTCAAAACAAAAAACTAGTATTCATACTATCATAAAAAGAAAAACCTTCAGAATTCAAAAACAACAGCAATAATAATAGAGGATGAGAAGTCAAATTAATGAAAAAAGAGCTATAATATAATGAAAAATAAAAGAATACAGGTAGGACTTTAAACTAATACATTTAAAATATGAATAAAATGGTCAATTTCTTGAAAAACGTGTACTACTCAAATTGTTCAAAGAACATTAAAAATGTATCTAAAAGATAATTAGATGAAATATAAAAGGTTAATAAATCTGAACCCTCTCCAACTATTATACTATTAGAGAACCCAGATGGAGGGATTAAGGAGTGTCCTATCAACACAAATACCTGTAAATTAAAGAGATCTTAAAGATGTGTTTGAGAAATATTTCTAAAGTCTCATTTGTCAATAAATATGGAAAATCACAAAAAAAAGACAAAGATGAGATGTCTAGTACATTTAATGATGAAAAATGAAGCATAAATGCAAGAGATAAGTTAAAGAATGTCAATGCTAGTATCACATACCTGGCTAAAAAGTCTATCTATAAAGATTAAATCCTCGGAAAGCTAGGGCTAAAAACAGGAAAAAACAAACAAACAAACAAACAAACAAACAACAAAAAACCCCCAGCAAGACAGAGAGTGCTGAAAGATCCTGAAAAAGGGCCAATAGGATGCACTGGATACAATACCTGGAGGTTGAGTTGTTCAGTTGCAGCACAAAGTCTCTGAAGGACATTCAGTGCAGGGTTGCTACCATCCATGTTTTCAGAACTGAAATAACGCTCAACAAATTTGTGTGCCTGCTCCTTAATCCAACCTTTAATTTTTTCTCTGCAAGAAGAAAAAGGAGATATAGGTCAGTGTACACAGAAAGAATATCAATTATAACTTCTGATCAAAGGCAAATAACTGCCAGATATAAAACCTTTTTTAGCCCATGGTTTAGACTAATAAATTCAGACTTCACATTAACCAAATTAAGTTTCATTTTAAAAATAGCCTAAGGTGAACCTAGAGGAATGCCCGGATGCATGCAGAGCAAGGGAAAGTTCTACTAGCAGTTACCTAAGCATTCAGCTGAAAGGTACTACTTTTTAAGGTACAGACATATTTGCACTGTCCTTTACCTATGTTCTCTAGAGAGCTGAAGTAGAGAACTACAGACCAGAAACAAGTACCTGTTTAGGTACATGATTAACTGTAACAACTGAAACCTCCTAAAACTCTGAAAAACAACTACTACCAACCAAACAAACCAATCAACCAAACACAAAGAGCCTGTTTGTTTTCCAATGACATTTCACATTTTTAAATTTCTTATTTGAAAAGAAAGTAATCCTTTGTTGGTATGCTACATCCAGGCCAACAAAATAAAACAATTCTCAAGGATTTTAAAGACATAATTTTTAAAAGCCATAAACTGGTATAAATAGGTTAGCTGGTAATTTTCTAAGTTCCTAAAAAACTCTCTACTCTAAGATCCTTAAGTTCCATGGTAAAGGGAAGAGGTGGGGTGTCATATGTGAAATCTAATGAACAAAATAAACTAAAAATATATCCAGAAACATGGAAGCATGCAACAGACTGAGGATTCTCAGAGGGAAGGGGCAGGCGAGGGAGAGGTGGGAGGGGTGTGTGCGCGTGTGTGTGGTGGCGGGGGAGAAGAGATAAACCTAACTACTTATATGCATACTACAGGTCTGGTACACCAATTCATGCAGCACTGGGGTCCCTCAGCCTGGTCTGCAGGGATCGAGCCTAAACCAGCTCTCTGACATCCCCCAAGAGTTCAGGGATTGCGAGAGGGCTCAGGCTGGGCCGAGGAATCCCACTGCTAACTGATCAGGGCTGGGAAGGTACCACGGGAGGACTCTAGGGCATGTGTGGCCTGTCTTTCCCAGTCCCCATCCGCAGACCCCGGCAGCAAGCTAACCTACAGGTTGGAGCGTCTGCCCTCTGGTGGTCAGTGCATATCACAGTGACTGGTTGAACAAACTCTTAGAATATAAGCTATTATTATATAGGACTAGAGGCCCAGTACACAAAATTCATGCACTGGGGGGGGAGGAAAGAGGGAGGAGGGGTGTCCCTCAACCCAGCCTGTGCCCTCTCAGACTGGAAGCCCTTGGGGGGATGCCCAACTGATGGCTTTAAGCCCTGTTCCCTGCTGCCGAAGAGGGGAGTCAAACACCTTTACCACTGACAAAGAGGCAGGAGAGGCCCCAGCCATTGCTGCTGCACTCACCAGCTATGAGCCCGGCTTCTGGCTGAGTGGTACTACTGACCACCAGGGGGCAGCTCTGGCATTGAGCGTCTGCCCCCTGGTGGTCAGTGCATGTCAAAGTGATGGTCATTCTGCCATTTGGTTTATTTGCATATTAGCCTTTTACTATATAGGATAGGCATAACCCATGGATACAGACAATAGTACGAGGAAGGCCTAGGGAGGGGATGAGTGGGAGAGGCAGTCAATGGGGAAAAAGAAAGGAATATCTGTAACACTTTAAATAATAAAGAATTTTGAAAACAGGAAAAAATAAAAATATTAAAAATCGATTTGAAATAGTGTGTTGTGGAGTATTGCTGTTTCCTTGTTAATTTTATGTCTAGAAGAAATTTAAAATGTAACACTGGAATGCAAGACAAAGCCACGCACAAGACTTTAAAACTGAGAAAATACTATATTCTTGAACTGTGCCACTTCTGAGCACATATTAAAGGTATGTGTCCAAGTTTCATCTCCATACAATAAATGTGCTGTTTTTCTAATCAAAGAACAGAATATAGATCTTCACCACTTCACCTATTATTGGATATGGTGTCCTTTGAAGCAGCCCTGGCAAGACCACTGACTCCTGCAGTCCGTGGTGGTTCAATGGTGCTGTTGGACTGTGCACTTAACCTTCCCCATGTTTTTGGGTTCAAGCTTGCCAGGAAAGAAGATTTAGGTGACTGAGTAGTGGTGGGGCTTTTAGCTATGAAGAGAAGAGAGAATGATAGTTAAATCATTTTACAATAACTGATAAAAATCAACTGAATTTTGCCCTAACTGGTTTGGCTCAGTGGATAGAGTGTCAGCCTACAGACTCAAGGGTCCCAGGTTCAGTTCCAGTCAGGGGCAGGTACCTTGGTTGCGGGCATATCCTCAGAAGGAGGTGTGCAGGAGGCAGCTGATTGATGTTTCTCATCCTATGTTTCTAACTCTCTATCCCTCTCCCTTCTTCTCTGTAGAGAATCAATAAAGTATATTAAAAACAAAAACCAACTGAATTTTAAGATTCCCATTCTTTAATTTTTCAATATTTTTTATTTTAGAGAGAGGGGGAGAGGGAGAGGAAAAAAGAGAGAGGGAGGGAGAACAATTGTATTTATTGTTCTACTTTAGGCATTCATTGGTTGATTCTTAAATGTGCCCTGACAGATATCAAACCCATAATCTGGGTGTTTGGGGACTGCATTCTAACCAACTCACCTACCTAGCCAGACAAGATGCTCATTCATAATAGATTAGCCAAAAGAACTAAGAGCACTAGGTATTCAGGAGACTTCAAAACTATCAGGTTTTTGTTTTGTGGTTTTTTTTTTTTGTTTTGTTTTTTAAATATATGTTTACTGATTTAAGAGAGAAAGGGAGAGAAAGAGAGAAAGAAACATCAATGATGAGAGAAAATCATTGATCGGCTGCTTCCTGTACACTCCCTACTGGGGGTCAAGCCCACAATCCGGGCATGTTCCATGAGTAGGAATTAAACCGTGATCTTTTGGTTGATAGGTCAACACTCAAACACTGAACCACACTGACTGGGCTATCAGTACTTTTTTAAAAAAATACATATTTTATTGATTTTTTACAGAGAGGAAGGGAGAGGGATAGAGAACTAGAAACAGCTGACTCCTTCACACCTCCCATTGGGGGTGTGCCTGCAACCAATGTACATGCCCTTGACCAGAATGCAACCCGAGACCCTCCAGTCCACAGGCCAACACTCCATCCACTGAACCAAACCAGCTTAGACTATCAGCAGTTTTAATAAGATATTTAAACTACATCTTTACCTACTACCATTTCCCCTTTACCTACCCATAGTTTAATCAAAGGAATTACCTTGATTGTCTACTTTGTCATCATCTCTTGGAGGTGAATACTTTGGCCTTCTAGGCCCTCGTTTTGGCAGTCGTTTTCTCTTTAGAACATCACTTAATCGACTATCACATGGGAAAACATGGGATAAGTTTAGCAATTACCATGATTTATTATCATCACTCATTGAAAAGCAAGCTAAAATTGCAGAAATAGGGAGTTAATAAATATTGCCATAACAGGGTATCTTCCATTTATGATTATTTAATGCTGAGTCTGCGCCTGTTATGTTCTAGGGGTACACAACACAGAAAATAATTAATTCAGAAAATAGCTAGCTGTTTAACTATATAAACTATTAAAAAAACAACTAAATAGAATACCTAATTCTGTGTTAAAATGTAGTGCGTATAGAAAAGTATTAAAACAAGTATACAATGCAAAGAGCCAATATTAAAAAACAAATTATGCAATCACAAACAAAAAAGAATATGTTAAATCTGAGTATAATAATTCTACCCTAACCTAAATGACAGTAAGTATACAACTCTATTAATATTATAAAAATACTTTCCATTATTACCCAAAAAATTTCATGGTGTGCAATGGCAACAACATTCTAAATCAATGTATTTACAAATATTTTAGTAATTAAAAAAATAAACACACCAAGTTACCTAAATAAGTCTAGCAAGTGATAATACAAATAAATCTGTTTTGAATTAGAATGTATTAATCAGAATATACATAGTATTTGTGTATTATTTTCACTATTCTTAACAAGACTAGAAATAGTTTGAAATATCTCTTGGAATAACAAAGTTACATGCAACAGAAAAGATGAAAAATATTCTGGTTTAGTTGGTCTGTGACTCAAATAAAATTGAAAAAATTGAAAAATTCTTCCAATATCTATCATGTCCATTGAAAACGAAACAAGTAAACTTTCAAAGAATAAACTTAATATGATTGAACAATTCCCCCTTTACAAATTTACATGAACTTTACATTTGAAACTATTTGAAACTATATTAGAAGGGAATGGTACCACTTAAAACTCGGAAAGAATTTTAAGAGAAACAGTTTTTTCTCTTTCTTTAGAATTATCAACTGTTAGAACCAATAATAATCAAGTCTAATTGCTTAATTTAAATGGCTCAGAAATACTAGATTTGTCTGAAATTTATCATATTTCACCATGTACCTATGATATTTCAGGCACTATGCCTGTGCTATAGAGTAAAACCCTGCATAACTTAAGGTTTACTACAGCAGCTACAGGAGAGAGTGGAGCTGGGGAGAAAGTAGGGAGGCAGGCAAGGATCTGAGAGAAAATGGAAGACAATTCCAACTTGAGAACAGGGAAGTGAGGGGGCCCCAAAATTCTCCAGATCCTATCTCCTTAAATTGGGTCCATAACATGAGTACCACCCAAGCTCAGGGGGGTTTCTAAAGTGACAGTAATTGTGCCAGAGTTCCCAATTTGTACCCCCAAGTCTCAAATTTACCAAAATTCATATTTAAACTAAAGTAGACAACTGCCACCAGGTGGTGCCAAAAGCAGCTGGAATCCTGAATGGGCTAGTTTATCACTGCACAAGGTTACCTTGCATTTTACAAGATTAAATTTTTAGACCCCACTTATATATTTTAGCGAGATCTACTTTTTATCGTAGAAGGAGTAAAAAGAATTACACCCTGAATAAATCCTGAATTTCAGAATTGAGTTTGGGTTCATCATGTACCACTCACACAGCTATAAGAAACAAAAACATTTTTAGACTGTGATTCATTTCAACACAACAAAATTAAAACTAATACAAAAATCTGGTAATGTTCTTAACAGCATAATACAAAGAAGGATCTAAAAACAGATAAAAAGGGAAAAACAATTTTCTTTATGTATGCTGTGTAACACAGTAAATAATTCAAGATTATTGAATCAGAAATGAGGGCTCAATCCTACATCTGTAAAATATGACACTGTTATTTAAATTCTCTGAGCCTTAGTTCCCTTCTATATCAATGAAATGGACCACGTATCTCTTGTGGTTCCCAAACACGACTCAATATAGAGCATTTGCAACAAATGTTCATTTTTCTTCTCATTTCCATTAAACATCTAACAAAATACAAATGAAAAAATATAGTGTGCATTCTCTCTAACAAATTATTATCTGTGTGAGTCTCAGTCTCCAGGGCAGTTAAAAGGCAAAGAGCATGGAAGTCACAACAGGACTCCAACTTACCCTTGAGGGCTCAGATCTAAAGAATCATCTCTGCTGTGCTGCAAGCTGGGAGATCCCAAGTCAGCTGCAGCGTTAGTGGCAGCCGTGGCTGTTCCACTGTTGACTGACGTTGTGGACCCCAAGGATCCTGACCCATTCGTACATGCCTTTGGTGGACTTGTCAGCAGAGACTCTGATTCTGCTAAGTGTTTTACTTGATGCATTACACCTACGTAGTAAATAGGGATTAAAACAAGTCAGTTTTCATCAGGATTGCATCCCTGTCATTACTATACCCATTAATGCTAACACTGATTTATAGGGAATGAATAAAAAGTATCTAGCAAATGGGTAGGGGGGTCTAGATGTCAGGATTTACAACTTGACTCCATTTAGAAAAGTAGTAGGCAAATTAAAATTAAAGAAAAACATTTGTATTTAATGTCTTCTAATATTCAAAACTCGACCACAGGAAATTTAATAGGGTCACAAGTAAAGTCCCACTAGAAATTTAAAATAAGTAATAATCAATTAGAGAAACAAAGTGCACCTGTAGGGCTTGATCAGAAAGGGAGTAAAGAACTACAATCATTAGTTAAATTCAAATGCTACAATGAGACAAACTCTCAGTAACATTGCTGCCAAAAGAGGAAATCAGCCATGGAAAGGTGAAGGAAGTAAAGAACTACAATCATTAGTTAAATTCAAATGCTACAATGAGACAAACTCTCAGTAACATTGCTGCCAAAAGTAGAACATTAGCCATGGAAAGGTGAAGATTGTCATACACCCTTGGAAGTGTATAGAAAAGCTAAACAGTAACTTATATGACAAGGGTTATATCCAGGCTAGGATCATGGGAAGATGTACATAGCGGATGGTCTAAGAACAACCAAATTTTATGCAATAGTGTGTGTGTCTGAATGCACGTGAGTGCATGTTCACATATTCACATTTTTCTGTGGAAAGAGTCCAGAGCTTTCTATCAGATTCTTATTAAAAAAAAAAATGTCCAAATTAATTTAAACTTCACATTCATTTCACAAATACTTGTGGCAGTCATATGCTAGACTCTATGCTGGGTACTAAAGATATAGTATGGCCATGGATGAACTTAGGGGAGCACTTATTGACCAGTGAAAAAGACATAATTTGCAAGATATTACAAATAAAGAATAAACCGCTTAAAGGAAAAACATGGTGCTGTTGGAATACAAAGTAGGGAAATCTTATATACATAAAACCAAGATCTTCATAAATAAGTGATATATAAGTGAAACCTCAAAGAATGGTGGACTTAGCTAGATGCAAAGCACTAGAAAAATCAAGATTCCCCAATAAACATGATTTGAAACTGTATTTGAAACTCTGCTATTGGGGGAAGAAAATTCAATATAAAGAAAATTGATCATATCAAAGTACAACAAAAATCACCCTGGAAAAAAAGTGTCTGATTCTGATACTCTTCTAAATCAGAAAAGTGGAACTGAAAAGCAAAACACAATAAAAAATACAGAACACTAAAAACACAATACAGGTTGCAAAAAACAGAATAGCCTAAGGCTAAAAACAAAAACACATGCCAAATGTTTATGTGAACATGAAAACATCAATTTGTACATACACCTGATTTGTTAACTATAGACATTAGTTCTGGAAAGTGGAGCGAGTCTATCGTTTATTTCATATTAATATGTGGTGTTGGACTTTTTTAAAAACCCATCTTTATTGGAACAGAACTAAGTGGTGAAAACCTCTTCGGATTCAACACTAGCATGTTTATTGCATTCTCAAGATGTGAATTAATATTAATCCAACAGCCGGGATCGGTTTGGCTCAGTGGATAGTGCGTCGGTCTGCGGACTGAAGGGTCCTGAGTTCGATTCCGGCCAAGGGCATGTACCTTGGTTGCGGGCACATCCCCAGTGGGGGGTGTCCAAGAGGCAGCTGGTCGATGTTTCTCTCTCATCGACGTTTCTAACTCTCTGTCCCTCTCAATTCCTCTCTGTGTAAAATCAATGAAATATATTTACAAAAAATATTAATCCAACATAAGAAAAGGTGCTCAAAAAATGGAAAATAGATCATATGCTGAAAGAACCAGAAGGGTTGGTAAGATAGAAGACAAAGATAAAGATTACTTGAGGGGAAAATACCATTATTTTCTGTAACCTGGGTTGGTAAGATAGAAGACAAAGATAAAGATTACTTGAGGGGAAAATACCATTATTTTCTGTAACCTCAGGTAACACCAAAGTATCCTAAAAGACCAAAAAAACCATTAAGAGATTTCTGTTGATGACAAAGAATTTATTTGAATATCTTGATAGGTTTTAAAAGGATAAAACCTGAATGAGTGACACAGCTTCATCTATGAGGTCTTCAAAAAGAGAATGGAAAAGTATCATGTCTCCTGGACTGAATTTCAACATTCAAATTACTTAAATTAGAAGACTGGACTAATTGCATTTTGAAGATTCCAATTGAAATACTGCCTTAAAATATTTCAATAACTATCCAAATAAGTTTAAAAAATCCCTTTACAATAATCCATACTGCTAAAATACTATTCAGACTAAAAAATTAATCTTAAATGACATTACCTTCTCTTCTGAAGTAAACACTAAAAATATCAGGTAATTTCTGCATTAAGATTTCTGCCATCTGAAGGGCTCCAACTACTATCTTCAGGTCTTGACTTGATAGCATGGAAGCAATGTGGCTAAAAAAAAAAAAGGGGGGGGGGGAGAGAACACGCATTTGTACATAAAACATGTCTGAATTTACCAAGTATTTTTGGTCATACTACTTTAAATTGGGGGGCAAAATATTTTAATTATGAAACCAGTCTACTAAAACAAAAACTTTTTTTTTAAAGCTCAACTTTTGTTTTTACAGTTTGTAATAATATTAAAGTGTGTGTAATATAAAACAAAGGACTCAAGATACTGCAAATATACTTTTTCTATATTACGTATACTTTAAAGATTTCAGAAATTACTTGCAGAAACTTGAATTTTTAAAATGTTTTCACTATTTTCATGAACACACCTTGAAACAGCATGATTTTTTAGGACGTCCTTTAGAAGTTCGGCATCAGCAAAATAAATTATCCTAAGAATTGCTCTAAGGCACTTATGTCTGACCGCAGGTCCTGCTGAGGAACTATACACTTCATAAAGAACACCAAATAACGTCTTAATAAAAGACTTAGCCAGTTCCGGATCCTCTTTCATAAGCTGTGCTCGAGCATCATCTTTCTTTAACTCTGAATATCCACCTGTTATAAAAAATGTTCAATCCTATAGTTACAGATTTCAGAAACAAACAATATTTAAAGCATTCAAGCCTCCTATGTAACTATTTGAAATGCTAAAACATTTCTAATTATAAAAAATCAACCTATCTAATGTCATGAACTGGGGTCTAGAAAGATACCAAAGGGATCATGAAGACAAAATTTAGCCAGCTAGAAAAATTACTCAACCTCTGGCCAGCTGAAGAGAATAAGGCACCTATGCCTGTTAATTCACTAAGTATGTACAACAAAATACTGGGATTATTTCAGCATAAAATAACTAAGTCACCAATGAGAAATAAATAGTGAAGATTTAGTTAGAAGATACAGAAAAACGCCCTAACCGGTTTGGCTCAGTGGACAGAGCGTCGGCCTATGGACTCAAGGGTCCCAGGTTTGATTCAGATCAAGGGGATGTACCATGGTTGCAGGCACATACCCAGTAGGGAGTGTGCAGGATGCAGCTGATAGATGTTTCTCTCAATCCCTCCCCCTTCCTCTTCGTAAAAAAACAAAACAAACAAAGAAAAAAAACAATAAAATATATATTTTTTAAAAGATACAGAAAAACAAGGTAATCTGTCACTTTGCTTAGAGGGAATAAGGTGTAGATAAAAGCTAACTGGATGAAAAGTAAGCTCAAGACCAGGGGTTGGCAAAGAATGGTCCAAAGACCCACCCTATCTTGCCCATCACCTATTTTTGTAAATGAAATTTTACTGGAACACAAACATCTAGATTTGCTAATATAACTATATATGCTGTTTTAGAGCTATAAAACAGCATATATAGTTGAGTACAACATATGTACTCAATACATTATCAAGTTGAGTATAGGGACTATATGGTCTGCAAAGTTTAAAATATTTACTACCTGGCTGTTTTTAGAAAAAGTTTGCTGAACATCTCTGTACTCTAAGCTAGTACTTTAAAAGCAATGGACTGCCGAAACCGGTTTGGCTCATTGGATAGAGCATCGGCCTGCGGATTGAAGGGTCTCAGGTTCAATTCCGGTCAAGGGCCGGCACATCCCCAATAGGGGGTGTGCAAGAGGCAGCTGATCGATGATTCTCTCTCATCAATGTTTTAACTCTCTCTCACTTTCTCTCTGTAAAAAATCAATAAAAAATATATTAAAAGAGAGAGAGAGAGAGAGAGAGAGAGAGAGAGAGAGAGAGAGAGAGAGAACACGAGAGAGAAAATGTTAAAAAAAAAAAAAAGCAATGGACTAAATCTCTGAGAGAAATAAATGTCAGAAATCTGGGAGCAGGGCGTGGGGGGGATCAGAGTTGTCTATTCTTCATTTGTTAAAAAGAGAATTTTGATGGAAAAGTATAGAACCGCCGGGACCAGTTTGGCTCAGTGGCAGAGCGTCCGTCTGCGGACTGAAAGGTCCCGGGTTCGATTCCGGTCAAAGGCATGTACCTGGGTTTTGGGCACATCCCTAGTAGGGGATGTGCAAGAGGCAGCTGATCAATGTTTCTCTCTCATCAATGTTTCTGGCTCTCTATCTCTTTCCCTTCCACTCTGTACAAAATCAATAATATATATATATATATATTTTTTTTTTTTTAAAAAGAAAAGTATAGAACCAAAGATTGGAAAAAACTAACTTGATGGGTGTGGGTGGATCTAAAGGCAGAATAGGAAAATAGAATCAGATAAAATCAAAACACACACACACACACACACACACACACACACACACACACACACACACACACCAACCCTACACAGGACAATTCTGATCAGAGTCTGAAATACTGCAAATCACATAAGTAAAAAGATCACAGGGAAGATACTAGTTAAGAAATACTGATTTATCTGTCAAGTAAAGCACATGATAAAAACAACAACAAATTACTTAAGTTTAATAAAGGCACTTACTAGTGTTAGTATTGGCTAAGGGGTTAGGTTTTCTCTGAATGGCACGTGCTGTTCCCGTGTCCTCATTGATTTGCTGCATAGAATTAAAATCAATAGTATAAACTCGTCCCAGAGTGGACAAGCTTATCTCATCCTCACCGACCTGATGGGCTGCCTGAGAGCAAAGAGAGAGAAACCTTGAATATAACCATGGAGAATTTTATTAACTTAAGACAGTGGGGACTCTCCATAAATGCTAACTTACATTTTTATTTAATCAAGTTTTAGATGAAGTAAGAATATGGAAATTTTAATATTGTAGATATGACAAAAATCATTCTCAATTAAACATAAACATACACCACACCCCTATCAGGTTCCCCAAGACATAAAACAGATAAAAATCTTGAAAGATCCAGTCATGAAGAATCACTAACATGAAGACATCATTTATATTAAGAAGGCTCCTAAAAAATTGCTGATAGAAAAAAATGTGTTAGCCATAAATCTTAGTATTTAATTCTTAGGTTATAAAGTTATTTACATCATAAATTCTTAATCCACTGAAATTCTACTTTAAACAAAATGATTCTATAATATTATCCTTAGGTAAATAAGACTTTCCACTTAAATAATTCTATAAGACACAACTTGACCTAACAGAATAATCCTGATTCCTAAGAGTTGCAGGTATTATAATACATTTGTAGAATAATACAATCTGATTCACATTGTCTGATTGATTTTAGCAGCCTAATAAGTGACAAAACATTCATTCTTATAACAGTTCAAATTATGGAATTTCTATGTTGAATGGAAGGCAAGATATTTAGGAAATACAAGATAGAAAGTTAACAGTGAAATACAATCAATGAAAAAATGCTAAAAAGAAGAATGCTTAAAATTAGAGAACATGACCTCCTTATACACTAACACTAACAATGCACAAAAGAGCAGTCAGTCATATTTAACTTCCTCATAAAAGCTAATTTTGAATTTAGATACTTTTATAAGAACTTCTGATTTTATAATATTTCTTTGGTTTCAAAGTTTTTTAAAAAAATCCTTTTTTAGAAACTAACTGGTGGTATACATCTTTAAAGAATGTTTAAGTGCCATGTTCTAAAAATTGAAATATCAGTTTGAAGTTAGAAATGTATTGACACTTAAAGGAATCACATATTGACAATATGAGATGCATGGCATCTCAAATAATGCAGTTATCAATATTTCCTAAATATTCCTGACCTGAGAAATTTCTGAAATATTTCAGTGCAAACATAATATGGCAGTCTGAAAATAAGAATTAAATCCCACATAAGACCTCACAAAGAAATCTTTAGTTTTTTTTCTTTCCTATTTATATATTATTCCTCTTTTATTTTGCTGATTTCCCGAGTTTCATAATTCTAAATATTTTTCATTTATACCCCATATTTTGACATAAAATTTATCCCATTAATTTATGAATTATATATGAACTTATGCATGTGTCAGAATTAATTAACCATTCACCCCTAGAGGTAGATATTTGTTTCCACATTTTTGCTCTTAAAAAATTGAGAAACATCTATTTTTATGTAAATCTCTGGTTTTGAGAGATTTCTTTTAGATAGAAAATAAGATGGACTTTTTGAAATATATAGCCTAACTCCTCAAATGTTTCCTTTCAGAAATGAGGAAACTATGGAACAAAGAACTTAAATTACTTGCTCCAAGTCAATCAGGTAGTTAGCAGCAGAAGCAGGACTACAACATCATGTTTTCTGACCTGAACAGAAATGAGGACCTTGTTCTCAGGAGACAAAATGAGAAAATCTTGAGTTAATTCAAAATTGAGCATGTTTAAGCATATTCACCCTTCCCATTCCATCCCTACACCCTCTCTCCACCAAAATAGACACATTTAAACAGTACAATGAACTACTACCTCAATGATCCGGCTGTCAATCCTGTTATAGGGATGCCAAAGGCCGCGGTCGTCACGCCACTGCCATATCGCACCATCTGTATTCTGAGCATTTCCCTTCTTCAGCATGGTATCAACTGCAAAAATGCCTTCTTTTGGTAAACATGGCATAAGTTCACTGGGGGGGAAAAGTGCAATTATTTTAATAGTTTCCCAAAATATTAGTAAAAGTCAGGCCTCTAAAGTAAAACAACCTCTTATGAAGCACAGTGATCATTAGCTCGATCTTTACCAAATCAGAGATGTCAGTTCATAGAGCTCTTGTGGACTGCGTGGAACAAGATCAATCTGCTCCTGACAACTTCCATTGGAGGCACCACACAGGAGGAAGTGAAGCGTTTCTGCGATGTCTGTAAAACCAACAACAAAAAAACAGAAACCTGTGAAACTAGTTATATTACCTACTTTTTTTTAAATTGAATTTATTGCGGTTACTTACACAGGTTAATAAAATTATATAGGTTTCAAGTATACAGTTCTATAATGCATCATCTGTATATTGCTTTGTGTGTTCACCATCCCAAGTCAAATCATCTTTCCGTCACCATCACCATTTATCACTCTTTTAAACCACTATTACCCAACCTCCCCACCCCTTTTCCCTCTAGTAATCACTATTTTGTTGTCTGTGCCTAAGATTTCACCCGCTTATTTCACCTAATCCACTAAGCCCTCTCCCCTCTGACAGCTGTCATTCTGTATCCTGTATCTATGAATTTGTTTCTATTTCATTTTGTTCATTAGATAATATTACCTACTTTAAAAGACAACCATTCCCTAGAAGGAAAAAATTATTTTCTTCTTGAGCAATATACTACTGAAGTTAAAGTAAAAGATCCAAATGAGGTGCAATAAATACTTAAGAAAATTTTCTAAAAATTTTTAACAATTTCTTTTTTCTAATCTTCTAGCTGGCCACCTAATCACAAACCCACCCAGAAACTTTAGGAATCTTTTATTACTTTCATTGAGGAACACAGTACTTTATACAAAAGTACACCAAATGTGTTTTAACCCTCAATTTAAGTATTTTGTACTCGTCCTCAAATCAAATAAACTGAAAAACGTAAGGCCAACAGGATAAAAAAAAAAAAAGCCAATTAAAAGCATCTGAATCTTATCATATTTTATGATCAGGAAAGACACATTAAGCATGCCACCAAAGGGCAAAATCATTAAAATTATCGTCTACCACAGATTTCCATTCACAGAAAACACCATTTTATGGAAGAATTTGCATGAGCCAGTCTGATATACAGTGTGAGTGGAGAGTTCTCAGCCTCCACAGGGTTTAGTCACTCTAACAGCAACAACCTTAAAACAGGCTGGCTATTTGTTGGTTGTGATGTGTGTATTTGCATACATACTACATACAGGACAAAATATATATAAAAATTTCAGTGAAATATTTTGCCAGTAATCAGTAAGATCTGTTGTCAAGCAAGTATTCACTATTGATTTGGGCAGAGAGGTAATCTCTGCCTCACAGAAATTTCACAAATTGTAAATAAAATGTTTAAACATTTCTTGAAAAAGTCGTTTTGCCAACTTCCCAAAGAAATCTGAACACATGGCAATGTCACACAAGGATTATTTACTTTTTAAGTAAAAGGTCAGATTCTTGTTTTCATTGTATTATTTTAGTAGAAAGAAAATATATCTAGAATCCCCATATTATGAAGGTGTGGCAAACTTCCTAAATTACGAAAAAGAGGTGAAAGAAAATATTCATCATATTAAAAAAAAAAAAATAATCCATGTTTAAACAAAAGTCAGGCAGCAAATTCCTAAATTAGTGTTTAGGGAAATGCTGTGCCCCATAGTAACAAGAGATAATCTGTACTCAAAACTTTAGAAAATGGTAGGCGAGGTAAAATTCAAAGAACTCCTAAGGATTTCAATATGCACACACAAAAGTAGCTATTTAAACCTTTCCCAGACTTATCTAGGCAGAGAGCACTTTGTTCCTGGCATACGAAAAAGTGTTCCTAAAATACTACCAAGCTGCGGGATGTCTCAATGATTTAAGAGTAATATTATCAATAAATCACCCAGTAACACTACTTTTCTGAAAAACTATGTGCTGATGCACTTAATTCACGTCATGAAACTAAAAATAAAACTGAGTTTCCCATCAAATAGCGATTTAAATTATATTACTTACAGTCTGAAGCAGTGGAATCAAAGGCTCTTTTATTAGTGAACTAGAGGCCCGATGCATGAAATTTGGGACATCCCTCTCATAATTCAGAGACTGCTGGCTCCTAACCACTAACCTGTTTGCAAGCCTGATTACCCCCTAACTGCTCCCCTGCTGGCCTGATCACCCCCAATTGCCTGCCTCTGTCAGCCTGATCTTGTGGTGGCCATCTTGTGATGACTTCATGGCAGCCATTGTGTGACAACACCTGGGCTTTTATTATATAGGCTATCACCCCTATCTCTCAAGGTAGCATCCTCAGATTTGAACTACGAATATGAAGTTAGTTATCCACAACTATAGGTGTTTCATAGAAATGTGACCAATACTCTACTAGCAATAATCAAACATTTTTTAAATTCTATTGTCTCCACACATTAACTTGTAAAATTTAAGGGTTAAAAAAAGTGAGAGCAAATTGCAATAGCAGTGCAATTAATTAAAAAAATATATATATATTTTATTGATTTTTTACAGAAAGGAAGAGAGAGGGATAGAGACTTAGAAACATCAATAAGAGAATCATTGATCAGCTGCCTCCTGTACAACCCTCACTGGGGATGTGCCCACAACCAAGGTACATGCCCCTGACCAGAACAGAACCCGGGACCCTTCAGTCCACAGGCCGACACTCTTAACGATGCTGTACCCACTGAGCCAAACCAGTTTCGGCACAATAAAACTTTATTTCCTACATACTGAGTGGGGATGGGAAGGGCACAAAGAGCAGTGGCATTCATCTGTATAACTTGCAATTTTTTCAGGGAGAAAAAAAGCGTTCTGTGATCAGATGAACTGTTAGAAAATCTAATTAATATTATGTAATGGATAGTGTACAGATCTTAAGCCCTGAGACCACAAGAAAAAATTTTCATTATATTATATACTTTAAAAATCCTATATAGGAAGCATTGATACGTTATCTTAACATAATTTAATAGATATTAATATTTTTCTTCTTTATTATACAGTCCCTATGACATTAGCAATCTTTTACTTGCTTAACTGATGTTGACTTTACTTATTAGATTTTTTTTTAAGCCACTTCTCTTGTTTAAAGTAGAATAATAAAATACCACTTACTTTGCTTCATAAGTTGAACAGCTAAAGTTGGACAGTTGGAACACATCAAAGAAAACATGCGAACCACCATTATGAACATCCCAGAACTTAAAATTGGTGGAGTTACAACCAATAGCTGTTGAACATTTGTAAGCAGATCTTTGGAGGCAACCTGCTGGAGTAAGTTCTTCAAACATAAGAAGAAGAAAAAACACGAAATTGTTATATTGTGATTCAGCAATGCAATGACTTTCATGAAAATAACACCAAGAACTAAATGCTCACCTCTTCATGTTGGAAATTGTCCACTAGTCGTGCAAAACAAAGGCAAGTACTTTCTACTGACTTTTTGTCCTAATTTTTAATAAAGGAAAATAAAGTTTATTAATATAAAATATTTTTACTGTCATACATCACTACCTTATCTTCTTCCTAACCCAGAACTCTTTAAAGCTGTCTGAATTAAATGTGAGCTTTGAAAATGCAAGGAGCCTAAGCAAAATACAACCAATAATATGATTTCAAAGAAAAGAGACTCATACTAATAAAAACTCTCTCCTCCATTAAGGCCCCAATAGATAAAAATAAATATAGAAAAGGAGGAACAACTTTTATAATTTTATTTCATCTAATTTCTTTAACTCATTTGTGTTTTTATTTGTGGGAGTTTGAGGAAGAGGACAAGGGTCAGATCATCTGTGCATCACATATGGATAAACCTTTATTACCCAAAACTCCATAGTGTACTTCTATAATTCTAATATCTAAACAATTATAATAAAAAATCCTATTATCCTAAAAAGCATTCCTAGTAGAAATATTTAAAATATGCATACATAAAAAAGTTAAAAATAATTAAAAATGAGTGTGAACCAGAGGTTTATTAATAATGTGAAAAACTAGTTATAGATTTGTTATATTCACGTTACAATTGGGAAATATTACTAGAGTGGCTTTATTGAGATAACATCTTAAATAAGTGACAAGAATAAAAGGAACAATTTAATGAACAAAAGAACAAGTGTGAAAGAACTTGTTTTTCCTAATAAATGGGCTTCCAATGTAGTAAATAAACTTACTTATGCAAAAATGAGAGAATTCTGGTATAAAAAAGCCCTATACTTACTTCACTGTAACTACTAAAGTCTAAAAAAAATGCTGCAATAGTGGCCAACTTTTTTAACTTCTGTCATGTCTACTTCCAAAATAAGACACTGAAATTACAGCTACCTAAAGAACATATTTCTAGCCTCCATAAAGATTATCTGAGCCTAGTAAGGTTTTAAAAATAAAGAAATGAATGGTACTACTTGAGTCTTGATCACCTTAGAAGAAAAGCACTTCAGAGTGATCCAATAATTATTATAGCAATTATACTTTAAAACATTATATTCAAATAAATTTTTCTACCACTTTGAGTTGAAAGTTAACTTATGATCTTTCCTACACCGCAGCCTCTATAAACCTTGCTTCTCAAACTGCACCATCAGATGCACTGATTCAATCTGCTAAATAATTGCTCCTGCTCTTCTCCCCAGAAACCATCAATCTACATTTTCCATTTCATTTTCTTTCAGGACATATCTAATCTCTAATCTTGTCCCCCTAGTCTTGTCTCCAATGCCTTTCAGGAGAGAGTAATTTTTCCAAAAGGAAATTCTGATCATATCACATAGTAAACACTCAATATCAAACATAACAAATACTGTTCATTTGTGTAAATCTACCAACATCTATAAAATACTTAATAGTAAGTGAAACTGGGTAACACAGGAAAAAAAATCACAGATCAGACATTTTATATTTATACATCCAGTTGATAGATTTAAAACCCAGTTAAAATTGACATTTAAAATGTAATAAAAATGTTTCTGACACATGAAGTAGGTTCTATTTTACCTGGTGGGTTAGCCTTTGGGTAAGCAATGGGAGGGAATCTGCCACAAAATGAAATTCATCCGGCGTGATGCTCTGGCAGCAATTGGCTGCAATTGCTAGTGCATTTCTTTGGGCATTTATACTGAAGAACTCTAGATACAGCAAGCAATCTGCCAAACCACCCTAAAATGTAGAAAACTGTTAAAGTGAAGAAATATTCTTTATGAGCAATTTAAAAAGCCTACTAAATAAGTCTTGCACACCTCTTCAGAAACACCACGTGTACCTTACAGAGATTGTGATCTAGGAGCTGCTACAAATGTGAGTGTAAAATCCAACATTAGCTTTGGTCACAACACTTACCGCTTGTAGAATGGCTTTACTGTGTCTACGTGATAACATCTCCAAGGCGGTCAAGGCCTGCTCTGCCACATCAATACACTGAATTACTTGCAGCTGGGAACATAAAAAATAGGTAACCTAAGGTATCATTCAAATTATTTCTTGTCAACCACAGTATGTTCTCTAATTTCCATCAATTTATACTGCTTCTAATGTGAAGCCCATCATAGGAAACCAGCTTAGGCTACAACATACAGCCAAAACAGCTTCCAAAAATGTTGCTGTCTTAGAAGATTGAAAAATGTTTTATATTGACAATAAACTATATTCAATTACATAACTTTAATTTTAAACTTTATTCATATTCCAAAGTTATCAGAATGTAATTTTATCATGCATTGAAAAGGAAAAGATCCTTAACATGGACCAAAACCACAACCTACCACATATGAAAAAATATTCCCTTTCTCCACTGACTCATTTTATGACCTCGATCAAGGTAGTTTGTCTATTTCAGCTTTTCATCTGTAAAATGAGGGTAATATAGCTAACCTCACTGAGATGTTTTCTAGAAATTGGTTACTATCAACTGCTTAAGTTCCTCTCTGAAAGATTTTAATGTAGTAATTGTCATTATTAAAAACATTCGTGCACTGGAGGTGTCCCTCAGCCCAGCAGGAGCCGTGACTGATGGCTTAGGCTCCAGCCATTTCTGCTGTGCTCACCAGCCATGAGCCTGGCTTTTGACTGAGCAGCAATCCCCCTGTGGGAGCACACCTACCACCAGGGGGCAGCTCCTGCATTGAGTGTCTGCCCCCTGGTGGTCAGTGCACATCACAGCAACTGGTCATTCTGCCTTTAGGCACATATACATATTAACCTTTTAATATGTAAGATTATAAATTTTAGTTGATTTTATAACATTTTATTAATGTCAACTTGAAAATACTGCTCTGAAATACTTTTCTGGAAACTTAGCTAAAAAAATATATTTTTGTTAGATAATGAATACAAAATGTGGCCTCACAATGTGATGTAGTATCTTAGAATTCAGAAATCATAAGTCCTCAACTTGATTTCTCTACCCCTGCTTTTGAACAAACCGGGCAAAAGTAGGATTACCTTTTCTAAAAAGACAGGAATTGCATCTACGACAACAGCAGATGATCGAGGAAGGGCTTCCATCATGTATGTTAAGGCTCGACAAGCATGGTTCATCTTAAAAACAGTAATGCATTTTTTACTAAATAAAACAACCACCTCAAAATGCAAAATTTGAAATATTTATATTTTAAAAATTCAGGACATACTTACAATATCAAAATTATGCTCCATCTGCAATAATGTTATCTGTTAAAAGATTATGACAAAGTATTAGAAGCAATCTATATTCTTAGAGAAAAATCCTAGAGGAAGTATCGTTCCCTCTACACTTCAACTGAAATGGAAAAGTATTACTCAAGACTTTTACCATATAAAAATAATATCAAACCGAAACCCGTTTGGCTCAGTGTATAGAGCGTCGGCCTGTGGACTGAAAGGTCCCGGGTTTGATTCCGGTCAAGGGCATGTATCTTGGTTGCGGGCACGTCCCCAATAGGGGGTGTGCAAGAGATCAATGATTTTCTCCCATTCAATGTTCCTAACTCTATCCCTCTCCCTTCCTCTCTGTAAAAAATCAATAAAATATATTTAAAAAATAATAATATCAAGTTAAAAACTAGCATGCAGACCAGCTGGTGCTGCTCAGTGGTTGAGGTCACAGTTTAATTTCTGGTCAGGGCACATGCCCCAGGTTGCTGGCTTGATCCCCAGTGTGGGGCATGCAGGAGGCATCATGACATTAGTTAAATAGAAATTGTCAGGACAAATTCAGAACCATAGCTTAAAATCTAGGGTTTAAACACAATATTGATCATTATCAGAAACTATGCAATAATTGAAACAAAAATTAACATATTTATTCTACAAATGTATGAAGGAGTCTAATTATCTGATTTTTATTTTAGTCTCTCTTGTGGAAAAGACCTTAAGGAGATTCCAACCACATTTTTCAAAGGAGGGATGCAAAACTGCTAGGGGCATATATTCTTATTCTCCTGAAGCAGCCAAAGCTAACAAAAAAAATTTCCTACTTAGGCAAACAGATCATTCACTGTTATCTAGTTCAATAGAAAGTCTTAAATGTATTAAATTTAAACTATAAAATATCCTTCAAATACATGCATTACTGTAATAGACATCACATATTCTAATACAATAATCATTTAGTAAGAGTGACTTTTCAAATCTGAATTACACTGGGCACAGAATACATACATATATACACACACACACACACACACACACACACACACACCCCAGAGGTTCTGTTAACTTTTTGTTAAAAAGCAAATACTCAATTTTAGGGTTATTAGCACTCTGTTTCAATTCACCTATAATGAATCAGTCACTTAAAACACTCTAAATTAAAAAAGGCTGTCACATTAACAGAAAAAGTAATAAATTCTCCAATACTTAAGATATGTTACAGTTAACATACCTGCTTTTAACTATATAGAGGGTGACACCCAAAAATGTATACACACACTTTGAATAATTATTATAAAGGTGATATTTGTTAAAAATACATTTCATTTTTAATTCTCCCATGTTTGGGAAGAATTATTCTCTTCCTCACAAGTGCATGATAATATGTACGTGTACACACACACGTATACACTCACAATATTCACAATATATAAATATATATTCAATTATGATAAAAGATAAATCTGGACAGCTCAATAACAATAATCATTCTTAAAAGCGTGAGTTGACTCATGACGGTCTAGTAAGAACTTAAATCTAATCATGAGCTAACAAATTAAGATGACTGTGTCAACATTTCTGCCTAGATTTTACAGCTTCCTTATTTAATTAATAAAAACTGCTTTTTTAATAGTAGATAGTAAAAGGTAAACCTTGTTATTTGTTGCTATGTATTTTTTAATGAACAACACCAACAAAACAAGAAAGTTAAATTTGGGAAACAGAAGCCAGCTACTGAAGAATCTAATTTGAGAATGAGAATTAGCTAGGCCATATGTCAAAGAAAGTACAAAAGCTAATAATACTGTTTTCTTAACCCTTTGCACTCCGCTGTCTCCTCTCAGGGGACATCGGAATTCTAGCATATCACTCGGATGTCCCCTCTCAGGGGACATTGCAGTTTATTAGTGATTACGGGGAATTGAGTTAATTCAACGCACGTTTCCCAAAGTAGCGTCGAGTAACTGGTAGCCAATGTCCAGAATGGTTCGGAGTGCAAAGGGTTAAAATATTCATGAATCAACATGCAAAGCTTTATTAGAGGGGAACCAGTAAGATTTAAGTGGTGGCTTTCATTATCCAAAGATCTGATTGGCAATAGGAGAAAAATTAATTTAATCTTTATCAGCAATTTAATAGGGAGAAAAAAAGAGAAGGAAAAAAAGACAATGTCACCTTATATTTGACTGGTCTTCATTGAGCTCTCTCCTTAACACTCACCTTTACCCATAATTTGAAAATGTAACCAAATGGAACAATCTGATATAGCAATCATAATTTCATGTTTGTCAACGTTATCAGATATTTTTTAAAACTTACATATCTTTAACTTCCAATATGCTATGAATGTATTCATGATGTTCATTTTACATGTATCAGGGATATACGTAAAAGAAAGCATGTAAATTTTGGCATAATAAGTCAAGAGGCCAACAATTTAAAGGTAGTCATTTAATTAACAAGAAAATTTACTAAGAATCATTAGCAATCACTCACAATATCTGTAAACATTAAGTAAAAGCACTAAGCCACACTCTACTAACTCTTAATTCTGTTGTGTTTTAAAATTCATAATGACAATAATCATACTTTCAGTAAATATAGGAAGCATAGAGGAGAACAGAGGTAAAACAAGTAGAAAACTATCTTACCAAAGCTGGAACTACACTCTTGACAGGAAACCCTCCCAGTGTCTCCTCATTTCCCATGACCAATAATTGACACATTTCAATAACTGCCTGGAGTTGCTGGCTTTCATCACTTGCTTGCAGTCCTTGTAGAAGCTGCTGGGCCTTAGAACCTTCAAAGAGAAAAACAATATTTTAAACATTTAAGAAAATTACTACTAGGTAAAAGATGTGACTCTACATGGTAGTTGGCAGCTTATCTTTTCCTCCCAAATGAAGACTGGGTTAAGGCAAGCTGCTGGTAATTCAAGACAATTAAAATGGTTGGCCTAGCCGAGACCGGTTTGGCTCAATGAATAGAGCGTCGGCTTGGGGACTGAAGGGTCCCAGGTTCGATTCCGGTCAAGGGCATGTGCCTTGGTTGTGGGCACATCCCCAGTGAGGGGTGTGCAGGAGGCAGCTGATCGATGACTCTCTCATCGATGTTTCTAGCTCTCTATCTCTCTCCCTTCTTCTCTGTACAAAATCAATAAAATATATATATATATATATATAAAAAATATGGTTGGCCTAAAGTGATTTCACAGTTATGTATATATTTCTGCCTTAATATTTACCTATTTAAATGAGTAGCTGATATTTTTAGTAGATAAAATAAAAATTATTCATATGAATATATATATATATATATATATATATATATATATAGTTATAGTTAATATATCTGCTTTTAACTATATATAGGGTGACCCCCAAAAATGTATACACACACTTTGAATAATTAATTATAAAGGCGATATTTATTAAAAAATACATTTCATTTTCAAAGTTGAGCTATCAGCTGTTCAAGTATGTATACATTTTTTTTGGGGGAAGACATATATGTATAAAATAATGAGCAAACATTTCCTGCAATAAAAAACCCTTGCTAAATAATAATGTCCAGGCTTCAAAAAAAGTATCACATACCTCTAAATATCTGCATGAGAATATAATCCAATTAATAGTGAAAGAGCAAGAAAATAAAGACAATAAAACAATGCATCTAACAACAACAAAAAAAAGAGAATGGAAAGAACAAGAAAGTATTTCCTAAAAACAAAAAACAGCAAGTGAACGACTTTTTTCACTTCTTCTCATTTCATTTGCAGATGCTATCAAAGTAGTTTAGAGAACTACTTTAAAGGCTTGATTTCACTGTCTAAACAATTGAAAAATGCTAAGACTCAAAGGGAGAGGAGCTGTCAAAAATCTACACAAGAAATTCAAAAATAGTCTCTAAATATGATTCAAATTTTTGTGGACATCCTCCTTATAGTTATGGTTAATTTAATCAATGATGACCAAATTTATATATCATGTTACTTTTAAGCCCTTTCTCTTCTTATACCTTGTCAGCTTATTCCTTTTGTACTGGATTTCCTTCACTCCCATATCATTAAGTATTAAAATGAGTAGAAATATGTTTGGAAAATGTCAATGAATATGGAATTCATATGAAAACCAAAGGTTTTTAGGAAGGTATAAACCTCTCAAAGAGGAACAGATGATCCTTGCAAGGTTTCTTTTCTATATTATTTAAGTCTGACTAATATCACTGCCTTCCTACATCTACCATAATTAAGGACTGCTGGATCCTAATGCTTGCCTACCTTAAAATATACTGCAAGAAAGTCAACTTCAAAGGAATACCATCTTTAATATTTTCTAACTAAATAATATCAATGCTAGTTAGAGCAGGCTAATTTTTGTGTTGAAATAATGTGGAAGAAAAAAAATTAGGGAATGTAACTACTGAAAACAAAAAATCCTCAGTTGCACCTATATTCTTTTTTAAAGAATAAAATAGTTCATATAAAGTATGTCCTAATAAGCACAACTGTCTGAAACAACAACAACAAATTGACACATATGCCATTGGATATTTTATAAACATTGAGGTTGGCAATTCTAAAGACAGATCATTTTGGCATAATCAAAATCATCATCAATATCCCCAGAGGATATTATGCTAAGTGAAATAAGTCAGAGAAAGATAAATACCGTAAGATTTCATTTTTATGTGGAATCCAAAAAACAAAGTAAAGAAAACAGAAATAAACTCTTAGATACAGAGAACAAACTGATGGTTGCTGGGTGGTAGGGAGGTTGAGAGGCTGGGTGAAGAAGGTCAGTAGATTAACAAGTACAAATTGGCAGTTACAAAATAGTTCCATGTATATAAAGTACAGAGCTTAGGGAATGTAGTCGATAATATCACATTAATTACATATGGTGTCAGATGGATGCCAAGACTAATCACTAACCAGGAGAATCACTTTGCAAGTTATATAGATGTATATAACCACTATGCTATACACCTGAAACTAATATAATACTGAACACAAATTGTAGCTGAAAATTATAAATAAATGTTAAGTGTCTCAGAAACCACGCAGGAGTCTATGGACTACACTTTAGAACCATTATCATAGATCAAGAGGTGGTTGGCAAATCCTCCTATATAATAAAGAGGTAATAAGCAAATTGACCACCACTCCAACACACAAGATAGCCACCCCCATGTGGCCACAAGATGGCCTGCAGGGGAGGACAGTAAGGAGGGGATCAGGCCTGCAGGGGAGGGCAGTTGGGGGCCATCAGGCCAGCCTGGGGGGAGGGGGGAGGAGAAGTTGGGTGTGATCGTGCCAGAAAGGGAGCAGATAAGGGACAATCAGGCTGGCAGGCAGAAGTGGTTACGGCAATCAGGCAGGCAAGCAGTTAGGATCCAGCAGTCCTGGTTGTGAGAGGGATGCCAGATTGGAGGATATAGGCCAGGCTGAGAAATACACCTCTCGTGCACAAATTTCATGCACTGGGCCTCTAGTATTTTCCATAAAGAGCCATATCCAACTTCCTACTTGTTTTTGTAAAGCTTATGAACTAAAAATGATTTACACATTTTGAGACATGTGAAATTAAATGAATATGAATTTCAGCATCTATAAAGTTGTGTTAGAATAGAGCCATGCAAATTTGTTTACATATTGTCTGTGTCTGCTTTCATGCCACAGTGCCAGAGCTGAAGAGTTGCAACAGAGTCTCTATGATCTACAAAGGCCAATATACTTACTATCTGGCCTTTTACAGAAAATATAAAAGACAGGTAAAATGAGTAACATAATTAGAATCTATAATAAAAAGCATTTAACTTTTTAAAACTGAAAAACATAATATAAAAAATTTAAAGCTCACTGATAGGTTTCCAAGATTAAAGATAGCAGAAAAAAAGAATTGGTGAATTTGAAAGCTGGCCAATAGAAAGTTTCAAAATGGGTAAAAGAAAAAAATTCTCACAAAAACAAAAATAAAACAAAGTCAAGAAACATGCTGAATGAATCAAAGTTCGAATATGATTTTGAATATAATTATGATACTCCTGGAAGAAATGAATGATAATATTTGAAGATAGTGAGATAGGAGAAATATTTGATGAGATGATGGCAAAGAATTTTCCAAAACTGATGAGAGATATTAACTCACAGACTCAAAGGTTATGTGAAATCTAAGCAAATGAAAATGAAAAACACTATCACACAGTCTTAATATAGTCAAAAAAACTAAAAATTAATTACATTTTGAAAAAGCAAATCTTAAAAGCCAGAGGAAAAAGAAATTGTCTTGGAAAGGCAACAGTAAGACTTTGAAACAGAAACCAGATGACATTACAATTGAGGAAAATATCTTTGAGAAATCCAAACAAACGCAAAGAGAAATTATTACTACTAATCATTCACTACAAGGAAAAAAATTATTCAGGCTTAACAGAAACAAATCCTAGAAGAAGAAAAAAAAAATGCAGGAAAAAATTAAAATGGCATATTTGTTGACACATATAAAATATGGATGTTCTAAAATAACAATTATGTCTTATTGTGTTTATAACACCTGTATACGTAAAACAAGTTGAAACAATAGTATTAAGGATTGCAGGAAGTAAGGAGTTTAATTTTTGTAAGCTTCTTAAACTGTTTGTATATGATAGGTTATATATGGTAGGCTATATAAACCAAGGATATGCATTATAATCTCAAGGATAATTACTCAAAGAAGTATATAAGGATATATAATTAACAAGTTAGCAGAAGAAAAATAAAATAGCATTTTTTAATACATGACAGGTAGGAATGTAAAAACAGCAAAACTCCAAAAGAAAGTGATTTACATCTGCCAAATGTTATATGCATTTACGTTTGTACACAACAATCTCCCTTTCAGAAATCTATCCTATGGACACACAGAAAAATGGGAAATAACCCAAATTATTTAGCTAATCCAAAAGGAAACTGGCTAAGAAAACTGTAGCACCATGGTGCTTTACAAAAGGGAAAAAAATTATTTATCTTACAATCTACATATGCAACTATGGATAGTGACATCAAAATCTGTTGTTAAAAGCAAGGTAAGGTGTGCAAAATTTATCTTTTTCTAAGAAAGGCAATATGTATGATTTATCTAACAAGGATTTGCTTATTTCTCAAGTAAATAACAGAAGAATAAGCCATTAAATTAACAAAGGTTATTTGTGTGGGAGGGAGAAAAGGGGTAAATGGACATCAAGCAAAGAAGTGACTATATCATTATCATTAATGACATAGGAACTGGAATGTTTGGCATGGAAGAAGATAACAATATAAAGTTAATTAAAACCCTGTAGGCCTGAATTTGAATTGGCAGCATTAGTATGAACCCTTATTTTCATTTTTTTGAAGTTTTTATTAACTTTTAGAGAGGAAGAAAGGAAATGGGAGAGACAGAAACATAGATGAAAGAGAAATATCAATCATTGCCTCCTGCACATCCCCTACTGGGGACTGAGTCCAAAACCCGGGCATGTGCCCTGACGGAGAATCAAACTGATGACCTCTTGGTGGATGGGATGATGTTCAACTAACTGAGCCACACTGGCTGGGGAAAAGATAAAATGCAACTACTTACTGAGTTTGTACATTAAAAATGTCTAGTAACAATGATCAAACCAGTAGCAAAGAATGAATATGCCTCTCCAGAATGTGAGTCCCAAATACGATTTCATATTAAAAAAGAAAATCAGGGCTCTCTAAAGAAATGTTTGATTTCAGGTATGGGGGTATGTGGTGGAGGTTGTGGAAGAAAGAGCTAAACTTCTCATATCAGAAAGCAAGGTGGTTATGAAAAATAGCCTTAGCCTGGCCAGCTGGGTCAGTAGTTGAGCAATAATCTATGAACTAGAAGGTCATGATTTGATTCTTTGTCAGGGAATATGCCCAGGTTGTGGGCTGGATCCCCAATGTGAGGTGTGTAGGAAGCAGCTGAGCAATGATTCTCTCTCATCATTGATGTTTCTCTCTCTCTCTAGCTTCCTCTCTGAAATAAAAAAATATATATTTAAAGAAAGCTAAAGATAATATTCTATACCATAAAAAAACTTAACTGGATTCACAATTATACTAAGTTATTCTGAGTTACAAGTTGAGACTTTAAAAATCACTGTTGTCATACTATACATGACAAGATTTCAGGATTATAATACATTAATTTGATTAAATAAGACCAGTAACTGTGACTGGTAATTGTGCTGAGAAATCTTTCCTCCAAGGCTCATATTACAACTATCTCATAGGTTAAATTTATTATATTGTAAAAAAACAAAAAACAACAACAAAAAAAAACCCCTTAAGATTTAAATAGATGCAAATCATGCCATCAAATGCTGTAATTATCAATGTAATCATCTGAGATTCCTTACTCTTCTATAACTCAAATAAAGTGTCAACCTGGCTGGCATAGCTCGGTAGTTGAGCATCAACCTAATGAGCAGGAGGTCATAGTTCGATTCCCATACAGGGCATAAATCAGGGTTGCAAGCTGGGTCCCCCGTGTGGGGCGTGCAGGAGGCACCAAACAATAACTCTCATCATTGATGTTTCTAGCTTTCTCTTTTCCTTCCTCTCTGAAATCAATAAAAATATATTTAAAAAACAAAATAAAGAGTTAAACTTTCTATAAATTTTGGTTTTCTAATTATTCCATTTCAGTAATCAAAAGTATAGAAGAAAAAATCTTAAGAGTTTCTATATTTTTAAAAAAATGTACAAAAGCTCTATTTTTAAAACACGTTAAGGTTCATAAAAACTTCCTTATATTAATAGGTAAGCAATAAAAACAGCACTCAACTAATTATTAAAGGATTGATGGGGGTGAGGGAGGAGAACGAATTTAAAAGTATTTACTTACTAGCTCCACTTCCAATTGTTCTGTGGAAAAGTTGTGACATCCGAGGACCAAGAGGGCCAAACAGGTGTGGAGGAAGACCCCTGGCCTCTAATAGAGCTAAAGAGAAAGAGGCAGGAGTAGTTGAGTTAATTGATGCAACTAATCCTATCTAAAAATTTGAAGCAACTGATTCACCTCACATAACTGATTTGGGCAACGTTACCTTCCATGCTGAACTTTAAGAGAAGCTACATTAAATGTTCAAGACCACTCTCATATTAATTATATTAGTATCTGTTACTTCAAGGCATCTTAAGGTTTTATGGCGATATTAAGTATCAGTATACCAGCAGGAACAGTGAGAGTGTTCCAAGAAAAACTCAAATATTTACTTTGAAGAAATTTTAAGGTAAACACCCTTACACTGCTCTTCCTCCGATATTGGTCATGACAGCCTCTAATATGAAAACATGAAAAATTACTTTTATCGGTTCCAAAAAAATAAGAAACCTGTGTTTATGAGGGTTCCAGTCAAAGAGAGACTGTTGTAAGTTCCTTCAGAAACTTAAAAGCAATATGAAACTGATTTATAAATAACATGTTTCTTATAAGCCTTATACTGGAAATCAGCTATCTCAAGATGATATAAATATATATTCATCCACTTGTAAAGAGCATATAAATAAAACTGCTTTTTAAAAAGCACTAACACCATTAAAATAGTTAGAGTTTATATACACTTTACATTTGTTTGGAAAGAGGTGACAAATAATACAGAAGATCATGGCAAAAAAGTAGCATATTGAATGCATTGTGTTACTAGATACCAAAGAACAATATATATTAAGCTACCCCTGCCTTAGACAATTTGGCTCAGTGGATAGAGCATTGGCCTGCAGACTGAAGGATCCTGAGTTCAATTCTGGTCAAGGGCACATGCCTGGGATGTGGGATCAATCCCCAGTAAGGGGTGTGCAGGATACAGCTGATCAATGATTCTCTCTCATTATTGATGTTTCTATCTCTCTTTTCCTCTCTGATATAAATAAAAAATATTTTTTAAAAAAGCAGCTACTCCTTTTCATAATGTTAATTTATTACCAGTTACACATGCAAACATAATGAAGTAGTTAAAATATTCAAAATCAATACAAGATTTTCTCTAACAGATAAAATGAAGAGCTAGAAAATAATTTTCAAATTCCAAATCATGACTAAACAAAGAGCTTTTTTTTTTTGAGGTAGATGCATTGCTAGATTATTTAAAGAAACTTATCTCAATTAATTTCAACAAAGAACAGCAGTATAGACAGCCCATAATAATGGTTTCTTATAAGTTCAAAATTGTCTTTACCTTGTAATCGTCCCATCTCAGAGTCATCTGATTCACTCTCCCCAGAAGTGGTCATGCCCACAGCCCCTGCAACAGAACTAGAGGCTTCAAAGGGGAGGGAAAAAAGGCAAGAGTTAAAAGAGGAATATTGTCTGGTTTATCTTTAAAAAAATAAAAAGGAGTGCCCCGCAGGCATGGCTCAGTGATTGAGCTTCAATCTATATGAACCAGGAGTTCGAGGTTCGATTCCTGGTCAGGGCACATGCCCAGGTTGTGTGCTCGAGCCTAGTCTGAGGAATACAAAAAGCAGCGATGAGTCTCTCTTTTTCCCTTACTCTCAGCATGTCCTCAGGCAAAGATTCAAAATAAATGCTTCAAATGAAGGGAGTCTTGTACCAACTGTATAGGATCTGTCTGAGAATGGATACTTGTGGAAAGATACTGAGTTATTATAGAATCATTGATTTATACTCTACACTAACTTAAGAGGGTTTCACACACTAAGAAACTAAAGCATATTACATGGTAGTACATCTGAAATTCAAAAATAAAATTTTTTTAAAGGCAGATTACTCAGAACAACTCAATATTAAGCTAATAAGTAATTCACCTTTTTCTCCAGCACTAGTGTGTCATGTAGTGTGCTGACAGAATTCCTGTAGGATCCCCCAGGGATCCAGCTTCCAAATTGTACTGACGCCAGAACTGTTGTAATACCAGTGAACATGCCACATGCATCTTTTACATAAAGTTGGAAAAATACCTAAATCACCCTGTGATTTCAAATATGAGTGACAATGAAAACTCAGGCAAGTGTTTACGGGGGCTTAAGAACCTAACCCTTTGAAGCTTTTATCCTCTTAGGTAAATACACCATGGAACAACAGTTTACACCCCACCTCACCAATGCAGCCTCCAGTTATATTTCAGTGAATTGAACAACCTCTTATATACTACGGATATATCCAACCTCTTATATCCTCTTATATGCCACAGTCATTATAAATATGCACTTCTTTTCTAAGATCTGGATTTGAGAGTCACACATCCTAGTTTGTAACTCGGCAAGCTTGCCCATTATATGCTTAAAGTTTGCCTCCTTTATAAAATGAGGGTAACAGCTCTCACATCTTAGCAGTTTAGGATATTCAATGAAAATATATGTATTAATAAAGTCCTTAATACTATGTCTGAAATAGAGAGTACACAACATAACTGTAAACTATTAATTATTACTGTAATGAGTCCACTTTAACAACACACTCAGCAGCTCCATTTCTGTCATCCACATGGGAACTGCCCCACTTCCATGTTCAGATTTGAAATAAACATTAAAACATTGGGAAAGATAGGCTGTGTATCATAAAAAGGTTAAATGAGTTGAATATGAAATGGATTATTTTCCCTAAATCTACTATTTAAATCTTCAGGAAAGCTATTTGAAAAAACGGTACAGGAAAAAGTTCTCTCCTACCAAAAGTGAGGCTGTCAGTTCACCCAGTAATTTATCATACATAACTAGGAAAGATCAGTGGTAAAAATGTTAAGATGGACAGAAAGTTGAGAACAAAAGACAAAAAACATGGATAAGTAGTAGGCAAACTAGAACCTTCCTGGCAAATGAGGACATGTGATTTACCAAAGGCATTAAAAAAAAAACCACCACCACCAACATTTTATAATATTAAACAACAAAATTTGTGCACGGGTAGAGGGGGTTCCCTCAACCCATATTGCACCCTCTCCAATTGGACATCCCTCTTACAATCTGAGACCACTGGCTTCTAATCGTTCACCTGCCTGCCTGCCTGATCGCCCCCACTACCCTCCCCTGCTGGCCTGATCACCCCTAACTGCCTCTGTCTCGGCCCCCAGCACCATGGCTTTGCCCAGAAGGAAGTCAGACCTGGTCTAATTAGCCAACTACCCTTTTATTAGTATAGGATTGCTTAAATGGTGTGGGGGAAGCCTTTTTCAGCAGGAGGAGATGCTCTTGGCAGACAAAAATACATAATTCCTATATCTGGACTGATAGCCAGCCATATACACTATACTGCCAAACCGGTCATTAAAAAATTGAACTGCTCTCTTACACCTTACACCAAACAGCTATTGTCTTTATCACACCTCCATAGTCCTCTTAGATTCTGCCTTTGCAGTTCACACAGATTTGGTTCTGATTGGCCAGTTTCTATGCCAGTCAGTGTCTCTGGGCCTATCTCTGGGCCTGATCAGAGAGGTGGGGCTGATCAGCAGCTGCGATGGAAGCTATGGATCAGGCCCAGCTCCTCTGTTCAGGCCTTTCTATGGGCCTGATCTGTAGTCCTCTCGGCAATCAGAGCTGGGTCGCCATACCGGCAGTGGTGGCTGTCAGTGATGACTTCTGGTTTTTGGTCATCCATTTCATCATTTTGGATGTTACAGACCCTTACTTTTTATATATGTAGACTAGTGGCCTAGTGCAAGAAATTCATGCACAAACGAGGGGTTCCCTCAGCCCAGCCAGCACCGTCTCCAATCGGGGACTCCTTGGAAGATATCCTTCTTGCAATCTGGAACAGCTGGATCCTAACTACTCACCTGCCTGCTTGATTACCCCTAACTGCCTCTGCATACCTGCCTGATTGCCCCTAACCCCTCTGCCTGATCGCCACTAACTGCCCTCCCCTGCCAGTCTGGTTGCCCCCAACTGCTCTCCCCTGCTGGCCTGATCTTGCCCCCAACAGCCCTCACCTGTTGGCCTGATCTCATCCCTAATTGCCCTCCCCTTGTTGGCCTCATTGTCCCCAACTGCCCTCCTCTGCTGGCCTGATCTCACCCCCAACAACCCTCCCCTGCCAGCCTGATCTTGCCCACAACTGCCATCCTCTGCTGGCCAATTTGGTTCTGATTGGTCAGTTTCTATGCCAGTCAGCATCAAAAGCCATTGGTTTCTTCACACTTCACCCAGATTTGGTTCTGGTTGGTCAGTTTCTATGCCAGTCAGCATCTCTGGGCCTACCAACAGGGCCTGATCAGAAAGGCGGGGCTGATCAACAGCCCTGGAGAGAAATGGAGGCGTGACTGCTGTTCAGACTGGGAGAGAAAGAGAGAGGCAAGTCCTGATCAAAAGCTGCCACAGAGGCAACAATCAGTCCCTGCTTCTCTTTTCATGCCTCTCTCTGGCCTGATTCGCAGTCCCCTCAGCCGTCAGTTTTGGGGCATCGTGGTTGGTCAAGCCTCGGTCGTTACCAGACATTACAACCCAGGGTTTTTATATAATAGGATAGTATATGAAAGGGCTTTGTTCAAAAGGAAGTATATGTTTAAAACCAATATGTTGTCACCCTGATTTAAATGGCCTCATATCCAAACCTTTATAATGATGAATTGCCGACATTTTAAATCACATCTTAATGCTAGTGAGAAATATTAATAACAAGCAACATTTTAAAACATGTTAACACAATTAGCTAGTGAAGTATTAGCCTTCTTTTGGTATTGGTAAAGAATATATATTTAAAGCTGAAGGGGATGGCTTAACTTTTGCTATGCTAAGATATCAAGAATAAAAATAAGCCTATAAAAAAAAGGAGATATGTGTAATACTATCAACCAATAAAAATAAAATAAAAAATAAAAAAAGCCCATAAAAATGTAAATAGTTTTCTTGAAATTGCTTAGATTCAAACTGAATAATTATTTTTTAAGAATTTCAACATTCTAAATTGAAATTGAAGTAAATTAAGCCATATTCATACACTTTTATAATGAACTTAAATTTTTTCAGACAATCAATGGGCAACTATTATATATGGTCATTAATATAAGAAGAAGCTAAAGCAGAAAGAGACTTACACCCTTCTGAATATAATTAGTACAAATTTGGATTTGGGAAAGAATGAAACAACAACAAAAACCAAATCAAACTTATCAAGAAACCAAACCTATGAAGTGAAACAAAACTGGACAAAAAGTTCATTTATATATATATATATATATATATATATGTGTGTGTGTGTGTGTGTGTGTGTGTGTGTGTGTGTGTGTAAGTGACCATTACGACCCGTTGGCCAATCAGGACTGGGTAAGACAACCCTGATTGACCCGGATTAGCCAGCCAGGCAGAGGGACCTACCCCCCCCCCCCCCCCCCGGCTCTGTGCATGATTTCGTGCACCCGACTTCTAGTTGGTAATAAAACATCTAGTATACTTCTGCCCCTCTTTCATTATATGTGGTATACCTAAAAAGTAATTTATCTCTAAATAAACATGTAAGATACATAAAAGCATTTTAGGGCTAGGAAGTGCCATTACCTGCAGCTCCTTGAGGGGTTTCATCTGTCCGTGCAGCTGAAGAATTTACTGTCTCCTGGTTGCTCTCAGGATCTGCCATTTTCTCCTGTCGACGAGCTTCAGCTGCTCCTCTTTTGCCCAGGCCAGAGCCTCGCCGACTACAACAGAAAAATGCCATCAGAGGCAGCACTACCAGCAACCAAAAGCAATGAAGACACAGCACAAAGCTGCAATGTATGGAGCACAAAGCCAGTTTCTTCTTTTTACATAAAAATTGTTGCAGAAAATCACTATGGGTAACAAGCAAGACATTATATATTTAAAAACCTTCCAAATTAATATTACATTCATAATACAAACTTTTGTGTTGTCATCCTTACAGAAAGAAATGCTTTTTAAACACTTCCAAATAAATGAAAACATGACTCCTTTTGTAGAAGGAATTCATTCATTTACAATAGCTCCCTATTTCTAAGGTAAATAATGGACCAATATACAGACTGTCAGATTGACACCTGACAAAGGGGGGAGGGAAAGAGGGAATATGATGGGGGAAATTCCCATCACCTAAGTTTCAGATTTCATAAATCAAAAAATAACTATCCTAATAATGGACAATAGCTCTACCCTTTAAAATAAAGAATTAATTATTTAATATTTATAAGCAAGGATGAAATTTGGGAAGACACTTGTTTAGGACTAAAGCATAGAATAAGATAGTGAAAAAAGAATTATCAGCCCAGCTTAAGAGGCTCAGTGGTTGAGCATTAACCAATGTCCTAAGAGGTCACGAGTCTGATTTCTGGTAAGAACACATGGCCAGGTTTCGAGCTGGATCCCCAGTATAGGGCATGCAGGAGGAAATCTATCAGTCTTGATGTTTCTCTCTGCCTGACTCTTCCTCTCTTTCTGAAAATCAGTAAAAATATATTTTTTTCAAAAAAGAATGATCAGCCAAAACCAGTTTGGCTCAGTGCATAGAGCGTCGGCCTGCGGACTGAAGGGTCTTGGGTTCAATTCCGGTCAGGGCCATGTGCCTTGGTTATGGGTGCATCCCCAGTGGGGGGTGTGCAGGAGGCAGCTGATCGATGATTCTCTCTCATAGATGTTTCTAACTCTCTATCCCTCTCTCTTCCTCTCTGTAAAAAAAAAAAATCAATAAAAATGTATTGAAAAAAAATGATCAGTCATTTCTTATGAAGCAAAGTACATTTTATTAATGATGACTTTTTTTCTATTTTAAAAGAAAATCAGGTAGAAGCAAGACTTTCCCAATTTACTACACCTTGATATGGTTCAAACAGCAGTCAAACTATAGAGACATTAGATGCTGCCTTGTAAGGAACCAGAATGAAGCATACATGTTCAAATGAGGCTCTGAATTACCCAAAAATAGAAGCGCTTATTCTTCCAATTAGTTGAAGAAATTCATCCTAAACAGGAATTTATTTGGTTAATCTTTCCTTCACAGTAAAACTCAATTTGCCAAGCTACAAATTAGTGGGATTAATTCATTTATTTGACATTTAATTTGTACCAACCATGTGATGCATACTGTGCTAAACACTATGGTTGCTGCCCTCCAGAAGTGTTAGTCTAAATGAGACACCATTGTAAAAAAGCAACTAATAGCAGAATCTCAACTAATTCTGAAAAAGTTTGAGGTGAAGAGCATTCCAGGCAAATGGCTAGTATGTGCAATAGCATGTTTAAAAAAACAATGTACATAACCTTAATGTAAAAATACTTCATTTATTTTTTTAAAAAGCTAACAATTATCTGAACTTTCAGTGAATTGTAATTTTTTTGCAACTGGAGGAGGGTCTTACCTTCAACTTGTAAAAAAAACAATATCTACACAGTATAATACTAAAGTGAAGCACTAATAAAACAAGGGCTGCCTGTACTGCCTAGAAACCTAAAAAGTAATAGGTGTACTGATTCCAGATATTATAAACAATCCAGACATAACTAAAAAATAATTGGAAAAGCAGAGATTAATGTGGTCAGGGTACAGGAAACAAGTCACTTATGTCATTATTGTACTCACTGCCAACAGCAAAGTCCACTGCTTTAGAGAAGAACTAAAGTACTGCTAAAACCTTTCTAAACCTTTCTACCAACCTGTGTTAGAAAAGAGAAAAGACAAACTAAAATCAGTTGTTCCATCACTGGCTTTTGGCACATTTAGTAAAGAGAACAAAGTTAATGAAAATGAAAGAAAAAAGCCTATATGGCTATGAAAAGTGAGTAGTACAAGAGCACTTGATCAATTGATGACCAAGCCTGAAAAAAATGTGGGAATAAAATTGTCAGAAAAGATATTTAACTTTAATCTAGAAAAGTTAACAAAAGTATGTAAAAATAAATAAATAAAAGTTATATAAAATAAGTAATACACTTATCAAACCAAAGGTAGTTGATCTTCTGAATATGAGCTTCAAAACGGTAACTGTGAGAGATGGGAATTAAAGATTTGAAAAAATACAAACAATACATTTTTCCTTGCCAGGTAGGGGTTGCATACAAAATTAAAATGAAGTACATCTCTCAATAACTGGTGTGAACACTTTTAGGAACTAATTAGGCAATATCACATCCATTTAAAGAGGCATCCCTTTTGATTCATTATTCATACTACCGGAAAATCAAGCTACCCCTAAAAAAAATAACCCAAATCTGCATTAAGATGCTTACTAGAGATTTATTTGGTTGACTAGAACTTCAAAACAACCAAATGTCCGACTACTTGGCAATAACTGTGAAAACAATGTAGCAAGGAAAGAAAAGGTAAAGGATAAACGAGTTATAAAAAAACAAAACAAAACAAAAAACTAGTATAATGACAATCTAGACCCCGTGTGTGCTTGATGCACACCACCCAGACCATCATAAAATGAAGCAAAAGCCAGTGGGGACCCCAAACGCCTACAGCTGACACCTGCAGGACGAACTCCCTGGGGGAAGGAGTACAGCTCAGAACAGGGACAATCAAGGCATGAGACTCAAGACAGACCCAACATCTAAGCTAAGGAGTCCCAACCACTGGACTACCAGGGGCTTCAACCTTTCAGACCTCAATCAGGTTGCCCAGGGCCAGAAAGGAACAGCAGACTCACATTCACCTGCACTAGAGAACCTCCCAGGAGGCCCAGGAAAGACACACCAAATGACCAGATCCAACATGAGAGCAAAATCCAGCGAGCTACACAAATAGCAGATTCAAAGGTTTCTGAATATGTGGTTTTGTGGGTTGTTTTTTTTTTTTTTTTTTTTTTTTTTTTTTTGTGTGTGTGTGTGTGTGAGCAATTTTTTTTTTGTTTTTGTTGCCTTTTTTTCTTCTTCCATATCTCTAATTTCTCTTTCCTTTGATTCTATTCTATGTCAGTATATTCTTGTGATTAATTTTTCTTATTTTCTCTTTTCCATTTTACTTTTCCTGTCTAAATTTTAATATATCCATTATTGGGGAGAGACAAAATGGCGGAAAAATAGATAGGCAGGTTCTGAGCCTTGAACAGAAGCAGAAAGAGAGAGAAGCTAAGGGTCGCACTGAGAGTGTTTATTAGCAAGTCAAGAGACAGGTGAACTCCAAGAGAAACTGGAGGTCTGCTGATGAGGGTGCCCCCTGACAGGGAAGGACCCACAGCAAGGCTGGGTCCCTTCCCAGAGCTACCTACGGGCGTGGACGGAGAAATCTCGCCATCTTGAAAGAAAGAGTGGATCTTGTCAGAGGCCTGAATATCTACAGCTGCAGTGACCACCAAGCAGCTGTGAGTCCCAGTATGCTGATCCCAGGTGACGTGAAAACTTGGACTCAAAAAGAGCGCCCCACCACACGATGAAATGGTCAGGTTTCTTGGAGATACGGTGAGTCCCCGCGGCGGAAGACAGAAGCCCTCACACACTGGCCTAGGAAACTGGAGGACTGGGGTGGTGTTTAAAAGTAGAAGCCCCTGGCTGTTGGGCGGGTGTCACCCATGAATGTGGATAGGGCTCCTAATAGGGGATATATCTAAAGAGCAACACGTTTGGATCTGACACGAAATATCAGAGAATTACAGGGAAGTGCAGTTGGCTTGGACTCCCCTCCCCTCCCCACCACCCAGATCAGTGTCACGGGGGGGGTGGGGGGGGGGGTGGGTGGGTTTTGAGAGTCTTTAGAGCCCTGGAAGTCAACCCAGAAAAACTGCCACCCATAGGCTAAATCACAAATTGACCCTACTGTGATAAAAAAAAAAAAAAAAAAAAAAAAAAAAAAAAAAAATCAAAGCAAGACCTCTGCTTAAAAATCAGGACCGGGTTACAACAGAGGAGCAGTGAAACGCAGGAAACTGCAATACTGTCCGGACTGGGAAATAGGCTTGCCAAACAGAACGATAGAGGAAGTGAATGACCTTCATTACTGCAAATTTTATTTAATTTTTTAATATTTTATTTATTTTTTAATATTTTAATTTTTGTTTTTTATTTTAATTATTTGCAATGTTTACTCAAGAAACTATTTCTTTCTTTTTTCCTCACTTGATATTACCTTTTTAATTATTACATTTTTATATGTAATCAACATTATTACTATTACTATTTTACAGTTTTTATCTTATTTTCTTTCGTTTATTTTTATTATTATTTCTTTAAGTGTCATATTATTTGCTTTTTAACTTTACTTTGGGATTAGTATTCTACAGTCTATTTTTACCTTTCCTTCTCTAACGCTTTATTCTACGTCAATCCTACCTTTATGCCATCACTCTCTTCCTAACCTTTTCCCTTTGGTATCCTGTTTATCTTAACCCTTTCCTGCTCTAGATTTTCCCTATTCTTTCTGTTTACCCCCTCCTAAAATTTCACCTTACTTGTGTATATTTAATTTCCAACCCCCTGCTCCAAGTCCATTCACGCCTCCCTTGTTGCTGTCCTTAAAACACACACACACACACACACACACACACACACACACACACAACAGTCTTTCTCTTTATACCTTTGTAGTTGTATGTTGAATGTTAACTATATCGAACTATTATGCTTTTTTGTAAGATTGGTTTGCTTATTCTTTTTGTTTGATTGTATGTTTTTGTTAGCTGGGTTCTAGTCACCTTTATTGGAGGTTATTAATGTCGCAAACACATTTCTGTTCAGTGTGTACCTGGCTGTGTGTATTTTGTGTCTTTAAATCAAAGCAGGAGAGAGAGAACTACATAACCAGACATCGTGAAGAGAGAGATAATGGGGAGACAAAGAAACAGCCCGCATATGAAAGAAAAGCAGGCATCACCAGAAAAGAATTCAGAGTAACAATCATAAGATGGCTAAAAAGAATGGAAGACAAATTTGACAATATGAGTAAGAACCAAGAGGAAATGAAGAACAAAGAAGAAGAAGAAAATGACATCGCTACTGTAAAGAACTCAATAGAAAGCATGAAGAGTAGATAAGAAGCAGAGGACCGCATCAGTGTGCTAGATAACAAGATGGAAAAAAATAGCTAATTAGAGCAGTTTCTGGAAAAAAAATTAAAAAGCAGGAGGAGAGCCTATGGGAGCTTTGGGACAATACAAAACAATATTAGAATAATAGGTGTTCCAGAAGGAAAGGAAACTGAGGAAGACACGGAAAACGTATTTCAAGAAATAATGACAGAAAACTTTCCTGAGATAGAGAAGAAAAAACCCACACAAATCCAAGATGCTCAGAGTCCCAAGCAAAATGAACCCCAGAAGACCGATGCCAAGGCATATTATAATTAAACTGGCAAACACTAACAACAAAGAAAGAATCTTAAAAGCAGCCAAAGCGAGACAGAAAGTTACATATAAAGAAATCCCCATCAGACTAGCAACTGATTTCTCCACAGAAACTCATCAGGCCAGAAGGGAATGGAATGAAATATACAAAGTCATGCAAAGGAAGGGTCTGAATCCAAGAATACTGTACCCAGCAAGGCTATCAATCAAAACTAAAGGTGAAATCAAGTGCTTCACAAAAAAAGACTAAGGAAATTTATCACCACCAAACCAGGGTATACTGTAAAAATAAAGAAATAGGAAGTGAAGAAGGAACACGGGGTTTAAAATAAAATAAAATTGGCGTCAAATAAGTACCTATCAATAATAAGTTTAAATGTAAATGGATTAAAGGCTCCAATCAAAAGACATAGGGTAATGGACTGGATAAGAAAACAAGACCCAAATATCTGCTATCTACAAGAAACCCACTTCAGAAAAAAAGACACACACAGACTTGAGGGTGAAGGGATGGAAAAAGGTTTTCCAGGCGAACGGAAATGAAAAAAAAAAAAAGCTGGGGTAGCAATACTTATATCTGACAAATTAGATCTCAAAGTGAAGGACATAACAAGAGATAATGAAGGCCACACCACTTCATAATACTAAAGGGAACAATCCAACAAGAAGAAATAACCCTAGTAAATATATATGCACCCAATACAGGAGCACCCAAATACATAAAAAAACTGCGTTAGGACATTAAGGGAGAGATTAATAGCAATACAATAATAGTAGATTTTAATACCCCACTGTCACCTTTGGACAAATCATCTAAACAAAAAATCAGCAAAGAAAAATCAATCGTAAATGACTCACTAGACCAGATGGAATTGACATCTTCAGAATATTCCACCCCAAAGCCACAGAATATACATTCATCTCAAGTGCACATGGGTCATTTTCAGAGATAGATCACATGTTGGGACATAGGCAAAGTCTCTTCCAATTCAAGAAGATAGAAAGCATATCAAGCATCTTCTCAGATCATAGTGGCATAAATTGGAAATTAACTACAATAAAAATAATCCAAAGAATTCAAACACATGGAGACTAAACAGCACGCTATTAAAAAGGACCGGGTTACCAGAGAAATCAAGGAAGAAATTAAAAACATCCTGGCAACAAATGACAATGTTCAATCCTTATGTTCATAGCAGCACAATTTACAATAGCTAGGATTTGGAAACAGCCCAGGTGCTCATCAGCAGATGATTGGATAAAAAAACTATGGAAATCTACACAATGGAATACTATGCTGCCATAAAAAAGTAATTCATATCATTTGCAGCAACCTGGATGGAACTGGAGAACATCATGCTGAGTGAAATAAGCCAGTCAATGAAAGAGAAACACCACATGACCTCACTCATTTATGGATAATAAAGAGTATTATAAACTGATGAACCAAAAGATAGATATAGAGACAGTAAAGCAACAAGCAGACTGTCAAATTATAGCGGAGAGGATAGGGAGATCTGGGGGAGATAAGAAATCAACCGAAATACTTATATACATGCATATAAGTACTACCAATAGACACAAAACTCTGGGGAGGGAGAGCATGTATGGGAGTGTGAGGGGGAATGTTAAGATATGTACACAGATAATAATTTAAAAATAAGAAAAAAAATAATATACCCATTATTACTATATTTTAAATTCATTATTTCATTTATTTTGTTTCCTCTTCTCTTTTCTTCCTATATTAACTAGTTCTTTTAGCTTCCTCCTTGCTTCCATAAAGCCAACTTTTCACCTTTTTTCTCCCTTTTTCTTTATATCTCCTTTGTCTTTGGTTGTGTGTCTTTTAGTATTCTTCTTCTTTTTTTTTTTTTTAAATCTCCCTTATTTGTGGAATCTAATGAATTGACCAACAAAATAAGACCTGAAGTATGGAGGCATGGAACAGATTGACATAACTTGATGTGGGAATGGGGAGATAGGAAGAGATAAACCAAAGAACTTATATGCATAGCCCATGGACACAGGCAATAGGGTAGTAAAGACCAGGGGTCTGGGTGGAGGGGCTGGGAAGAAGGGAGTAAAGGGTTGGAGTGGGGGGGAAATGTGAGATATCTGTAATACTATCAACAATAAAAAATATGACAGTGAATATATGCATTTTATTATATACAATAAAATAAACAGCACCTTAAAATAATAGTATAATTAAAGCTTAGCAAAAATGTAAACAAATATTGGGGTAGAATGTATGGAAACAGTCGTGCTGGCATGCTCAGTGGTTAAACCAAGAAGTCATGGTTCAATTCCCAGTCAGGGCACATGCCCAGGTTGCAGGCTGGATTCCCAGTATGGGCATGCAGGAGGCAGCTGGTCAATGTTTCTCTCTCATCATTGATGTTTCTGTCTCTCTCCCTCTCCCTTCCTTTCTAAAATCAATAAAAATACATTAAAAAAAAAGAATTCATGAAAATAAAAATTGATAAATTCTTTATTCAATATTCAAGTGAAACTTTTAATTATCTTATATATCTTACAAAATTAATGATTTTGAGGAAAAAAATCACAGATCCATCTATCCTCCTTTATAGAGGCAAACAGATTCTAAAACACAGATAATGAACTAATCATAAACTGGAAAAACCCAAGTTATTACCTGGCACTAGCACAGGAGCCCGTGGTCTTTTGGCGTGTGCTCCGCCTCAAACTGGGGAGCTCAGCAGGTGGGGATTCACTGCGCTTCTTGGTAGATTTTCTTAAACCTATATATATGAAATAAAAAAGTAAAATTTAAAGGGAGAAGTTCTCTTAAAATAAAAATTCTTTATCATCTTGGTTCAAAGTCCACAGAATCTTCCCATGGCCTCTTTAGCAGTCTACTATGGTACATGACATTCCCTTCAGGATCTTACTTTGGTCCAACCGTGATCATGAATGATGGTTCTCTCAAACCATCCCCTTAAAAGGTCCTACCACATCTCTACCCATCCACTACTATTTTGTACTAAAGCAAACACATTTTGTTTTTTTGTAAATATTCCAGAACTTTATTAAATACCTTTTATCACTTGTTTTTTTTATCCTCATCCAAGAATATTTTTTGTTTGTTTGTTTAGAGACTGGAGGGAAGGGGGAAAGGGCAGAGAGAAACTTCAATGTAAGAGAGACACACATCAATCAGTGTGTCCTCCTGTTTCCTACTCCATGTGCCCTGGCCAGGGTGGGGGATGGAGCCTGCAACTGAACTATTATGTCCCTGACCTGGAATCAAACTCCACTCCTGTATCCTTGGGTCTACATTCTAACCACTTAGCAACCAGCCAGGGCTCATTATCACTTTATTATATTGTCTTTACACTGTCCCATTTCACCTAATTAATATAGTTCATCATTAAGGCTATGAGATAACAAAATGCTTTCTTTTTTTTTTTACAGCAGTGGTTGCTAACTGGTGGTCCACAGCAAGGAATTATCAATTTGAACTAAAGTTATAACTTATAAAGTTATAAAATGTTCAATTTATAGAATACTGTACAACTGGGGGTGGGGAGGAGGAATCAATCAAGTGCACGTTATTCTGGATGCTAACTAATACATTTATAGAGGTAACAAATCCTACAAAAAGGTTTAACATTTAAGTATATTACCATTTTTTGAAAAACTAGAGGCCTGGTGCACAAATTCATGCACCAGTGTAGTACCTTGGACTAGCCTGCAGGATGAGGCTGAAACCAGCTCTCTGACATCCTGAGGAGCCCGGGATAGCGAGAGGGTGCAGGCCAGACCAAGAGACCCCACTGGTGCACTATCGGGGTTTGGAAGAGACACAGGAGGTTGGCATGGAAGGACTCCAGAGCCAGACCCCAGCAGCAAGCTAACCTACCGGTCAAAGGTCTGCCCCCTGGTGGTCAATGCACATTATAGAGACTGGTTGACTATCTGCCCCATGGTAGTCAATACATATAGCAAGCAGTAGAGCGGCATTAGCATATCATGCTTTGATTGAATGGACAACCAGACACTTAGTATATTAGGCTTTTATTGTATTATTATATGAGATGGTGTAGCCATAGAGCATCCATCTATACTTCCCCAACGATGTTATCATAAAACATACTGTGCAATGTGCACAATTCAAACAAAGACCTCCAATACTGAATGGCCTCAAAACACAAGAAGCATATTTCCATTAGAGCTCTAGCATCATCTTAAACAAATGTTAACTTTCAAACCAACTGAACAGTAACAATTCTCCAGATCCCAGAAAGCCTTTTTTTTTTTTTTTTTTTTTTTTTTTTTTTTTACAATTTCACTTCTTTAAAGTGGAAGAAATTCTTGATTTAAATTTCTAATTTACAAATACGGTTTTCTTCCTGGGGGGATTGGGGCTAAGCTGGCAGTCAGATATTCCTCTGGCAGCCCAGGAGTCCACAGAGAGCGGGCCTAATCCATTAGTCAGACATCCTTACTGCTGCTGCAGAGGTGGGAGAGGCTTCCACCACCGCCACGTGGCTGGTCAGTCATGAGTTGGCTTCTGTCTGAGCTGCACTCTCCCTTTGGAGGCACACTGACAACCAGGGGGCAACTTTCTGCATTGAGCATCTGTCCCTTGGTGGTCAATGCATGTCATAGCGACTGATCATTCCTGGTTGTTCCACTGATAGGGTCAATTTGTATATTATCCTTTTATTATAAAGGATAATGGAAGTTTGCCAAGTGAAAGCAAACTAGCTATTCAAGAATCTTTAATGACAGCTAGGCCAGTGTTTTTTAGTGGCTGAACATAGACCAATGCACCGAGAGATCACTGGTTCCATTCCTGGACAGGGCACTTGCCCTGGCTGCAGGATCCATCCACAGTGGGGAGTGTAGGGAGGCAGCCCATCCATGTTTCTCTCTCATCAATGATTCTCCTTCTCCCTTCCCCTCTCTAAAATATCCATGAAAACATAAATATTTTTTTAAAATACCTTTTTATTGATTTCAGAGAGGAGGGGAGAAAAATATAAAATATATTTAGGTATTAATCACTATTTTTTAATGTTTAAAAAATTCAGAAATTATTTTTAAAATTTCAGGAAATATTAAATTATACCTATCTGAATTGTGTGACTAAGTGGTAATAGAGCAAAAAATGTACAATTCAGAAAGAAAAACAGTGAGTGCATATTACACTGAAACACTGAAAAAACAAAGTGCTATAAAGCATGTTAAAAGCCCTTACATTACTGGCATTAACTTAGTTCATATAATTCTCAAACATTTTTACACATGGCATAATACTAGGTATAGTTAACAGCGCGGATTTTGTAATCAAAGAAAACACGATAATTTTAAGAGAAACGTCAAAAGTGCTTTATTCAAAGTAATGCCCATTGAGAGCTACACATTTTCCCCATCTATCAGGTAATTTGTGGATACTGTACCAATAGAACTTTTCTTGTTTTGAGGCAAACCCTTCCACGGCCAAATTTACCACTTTTTGTACATTTTGAAGTGCTGCTCAGAAAGTGCTGTGCCATCATTCAGAACAAATGGTAATCTGAAAGAACACGGTCTGCTTGATACAGTGGGTGCATTAATAATTCCCAGACAAGATCTTTTAATGTGTCTTTAACTGGTTTTGAAGTGTGTAATGAAGCAAAATTATTTTGCCATGTCTTCTAGCACATTCTGGTCATTTTACAATCAAAGTGTGGTTCAAACTGATTATTCGTTTTTGGTAGTGATAAGTACTTATGGTTTCACCTGGTTTTAGAAACTCATAATACACCACACCTTCGTAATACCACCAAATGCAGAGCATTGTTTTCTTTTAGAAGTGACTTAGCCTTGCAGTCAATGTTGATGGTTGTCCTTAATCAATACATGATTTTGTGCATTTGGGATTCTCAAAAAAAAAATTGTCTTTTGATTGACAGTCACAATTGGATGCAAAAAAGGCTTTCATTCGTGCTGCAGAAGCAACAGATTGCTGATGACTTTTCAGTTTTCCATTTGTCTCTCGTTCAGTTGATGTAGCACCCATTTTCTTTCCTTTTAACAATTTTCCCATTGCTTGTAAATGATCATGAATTGTTTGCTGAGCAACGCCTAATCTTTCTACAAGTTGTTTTTAAGTCTGACACACATCTTCACCCAATAATGCTTGTAATTGTTGGTCTTCAAACTTTTTCGGTTCACCTGGACGTTTTTTGTCCTTCACATTGAAATCATCACTTTTAAAGCATTTAAGCCAGTGTTCACAATTATCTTGAGATGGAGGATATTCACTGTAAGCTTCCCGAAGTATAAGATAACTTCCAGCAACAATTTTCTTCAAAATAATTAATTAAAATTTCCCACAAATGCTTTTTGGTATGAAATTTGACATTTTTAAGCATAAAAATATCTACAATGTTAACACCTTCACAAAATGTGACATATGAAGTTTTGAAGCTTGCTTCGAATACAACAAAAGGGGATGCATATATATCAACATATGTGTAACTCAATCTATTGAAAAAAAATCCACATTATTAACCGGTACACTTAGTACGGTAATGGACACAAGCACAACATTTTACATCTATTCATGGCATGTAAAATAAAATACTCAACTTAATACTCAACTGTGGGCTACTACTACTCCAAAGCTAATTTGAGGTTAACAGTATATCTGTTTTATCAAACTTTTACACTTCACTACTCATCAACTATTTTATTTACTAAACTAGGAGAAATAGCCCCAAACCTTTTGTTGTTTGGAAGGCAATCCCATGGTAAAGGAGCTGCTACATACAGTCCTCTCTATTGGAAAAGAGAAATCGCTATTTGTAACATTACCTAAGCCTATGATGGGAAACATAACTAGCTTTTACATATTCTGCTCCAAAAACTACATCAGGGGAAACATCTTAGATGTTGTGAAGACTGGTAATTAAAAACTTACTAGGATACCTAAACAAATTAAGTCAATTCTTAGAAGAACTATATAAAATTCTTGAAAAAGGAAAGTTGGAAGATAGAACAGTTTGATAAATCAAGTACTTTGTAGAAATGTGACTACTGTTAACCATTGTGGGTTTTTGTTTGTTTGTTTTTTTACCTTTTTTTTACCTTTCAGCAAATTAATGCTGCTAGAATATTCTATCTTATATATTTTACAGATTGGCTATGGAGTTTTTCATACATGTAATTTCACATAGGTATAAAGTTATGATAGTTCTTATTTTTTAAACACAAAAACAATTAACTGACTTGCCTAGAGGTGCATAACTACACAATTCCAAAGTTTATTCTGAAGCAGAAAAGTATACTATATTTTTTCCAATATACTTCTGGCAAAGCATTAAATTTTGATTTTTTTGTTCCTTTAGAAATTTTTAGGTAATATGTTTGTATAGCAAAAAATAAAATATTTTTATATAATTAACATGTTTTCTTTATTCTACCTGCCAAATAAGGAGTATTTTAATAGAAGAAAAAAAGTGATAAGTATAAAACTACAACTTACTGAAAACCACTTAAGATGCAGGTGCATGGGAATACAAACAATTTCAATCAATCTATTTATCTCTCTCTCTCTCTCTTAGGCTCTGTAATGCAGAAAAACTGTATTGGTCACTTATTTTTATGATGCCACACTGAAAAGCAAATAGAATATCACTGCTTATACTATCTAATAAAAGGGTAATATGCAAATTAACCATCACTCCACAACACATATAGCAGCACCAACAACCAATAAGGAGGGATTATGTAAATTGCCACAACCAAGATG